GAGCCGCTGACACCAGACACAGATTCCCCGAGTGAGGTAGCCAGAGCAGCACAAGAGAAGTCAGTCTGCAGAGAGTCTGTCGATGGCACGCCAGAGGAGGACAACGTAGCAATAGCGGGGCGTCTTCAGGCAACCTGTGCGGCGGAGCGTTCCAAGGACTTCGGTTCGGTTCGGAAGCCCGGGAGTGTGTACAGTGGCACCGTAAAAATGTCTACCCAAGAAATGTCAACGCAGTTACAACGCGGTGTATACGCGGATCAGCAAATCATGAACTCACTCGGAAATGATGACGGGCCCATTGCAACAACAGTGTAGAAAACCGGCTAAGGGGCGTGGAGGAGGAAGAGGAGGAGGGGGGATCCGTTTAGCCATCGACCGACAGCCACAGGCGCCGTCGGCGTCTTGACGATGTGGAGGAAGTTCGGTAGAGATGCAATCTTGATGTGGACGCTATCGCGGGATCAATTTCCCAGGGGGCGGGGCGGCGCTAATCAAGACACGCTTTCTCGGCGCCAGCTACTGCGAGTCGACGCTTCAAAGAACGAGCAGTTCACTGAGGGAAAAGTATGCATATTTCTCGGTGTATGCGGATTCCCACCGCCTAACCGCATGACGCTTCAGGTCTCTGAGCCTAAGAACGAGTGGTGCTCCCTTAGCAATGAGACGCTCGAGAGGAAAAGGTAGGTTTAGTTCTGCATGCCCGTGAATGTGCACTGATATATGACGATTAGAGATGCTACATGCAGCTGCGAACGGCTACGAGTCGGTTCCTCTGGACCCGACATTCCGCGTGTACTCACATGGGTTCAGTGAACAGGAGCATTCCGTCTCGCACGGCTAATGTCAGATTCACTGCTGAGTTCGCTGCGTTATTGCTGGCGGTAAGTGTTAATCCACTTCCTCAACCTTCTTGCATGTGCCCCCCATCCTTCACCGTCATCCACCGAGTACCCGTAGCCAAGGCTTCGCCAGTCAGAGTGGTACTCACGCTTTACAGAGGAAGTCTGCATCTCGCCGAAAATAGCCAGCATCCATTCAGTCACTCGAGACGACTCCGTTCCAGCCTCTATTAAATTCGAACGCGTCTTCGAGAACAAGAACAACGAGGCGCGTGTTTGACTCATCACTGTTTCTGTCGACCCTGACTTATCTTCTGCGGCTCAAAGCTCCGATTCCGCCTACAACCCCAAATAAACCCCAAGTCCATGAGCAAGACTTTCAAAGATACCGACAGTGCGCGTATGAGGGCGGACCAAGTCGTCCCGCTCATCCGGCCAGCGCCGTGAATCCTCAGTGCATCGCCGAGATTGACTGAAATGCGCATCGACGGTAGGTTGTTCGTCCGTCCAGGTGCATAGAACTAATGTGCCGCCCGTCCGCACGAATCCGCTGCGAGGGTTGGTCGCCAGCCTCATCGACGTCATAAGGGTCGGCGTCGAAGAGCAGCCCTCGCCAGGAGGATGCCGAGTCCTCCTCGCCGACAGTGACGACGTCGTCATCGTCGTCATAGTCGGTGGGTCGAACTCGACCTTGCTTGGTTCGTACGAGTAGACCTCGCACTCGGCGATGCCTATCGTATATTTCACAATGATGCGTCGTTTCTTGAGCACGACACCTCCTGCATCTAGAGCTCGACACGCGGTCGAGCTTGCCGATTTCACGAATAGGCGGTTGAGAGTCCCTCAGGTAGTCGTGAATCCGTTGACACACTTATGTTATTACTAATTACCGTCGACTGTCTGAAGTTCCGTCGTGTCACTATCTCTTCTCGCATCAGATGTACTGACAGGGACCTATGAACGCTACCTTGGAAGCTTCACAGAAGTCAAGCCGAACTGGAGTGCTCCGTGTTCCGAGTCCGGTGAGTGCCCTTTCCGTGCCATGTATGCGCATATTTACAGAATGCAGATGCATATCCGCAGGGCCTAACAGAAGCCGTAACTGCAACGTTTCGCGATTCTCGCACAGAATGCACTGGCCGCGGTCTGTCTGGTGCTGTTAGTAGCTGATCGTGTGATCAGTAACATCGATGACGACGTCTCGGATTCTCGATAAGGACACAAGCCCCCACCGCGGAGTTCCTATCGAGATCAGCGATATACCGAACACCTGGACCAGCGTGTGCTCTTGACAGCGGCCATATACCTGCCTTGCTGAAAGCCTCACCCGTTGTCTATGCAGCGAGTGCGTCCGACCCATTCAGGAGCTGACCCTGTGAAGCACGTGACGTGTCGGGGATGCAGGAAATTCGAGAGTGGCTCGGATGGTCCTCGTTCAGGGCTTTGGTTATCGACAGTGGTTGTAGAAGGGGTTTGTCAAGCGGCCTCACGCCCCGACGACGTCAAGATGGCAAGCCTTGGATCATAAGCCCTTAGTGAGGTGCTAATCTTTTGTCGCATTAAGCTACGTGACTAGCGCTCACTGCTAACTCGCCTTACACAGATTCAAGTCACGGTTGGACTAGCACCCGACGAATTGTATCATGAAGATAGATACTACTTATGAAGACAACTACGAAAATTACGCATCCTCGAAGGCGGTCATCAGCGCTTTTCTGCTTCCAACCGCGCGTTAGAGAGGACATAACCTACTGCGAACTATCACTGTCAGACACATTGCGAGGAATCGATCGGGCTGAGGGAGACACGTGATGTGATGCTGAATGCACACAACACGAAAGCGCGACGCACGACGCCCATAACCAGCTACTGATACCGAATAGCCGATGCGTTGGAAAGCGTCGTCGCTGCCCTAAATACGTGATCAGATGTGCCCTGTTGTGACCTCGAGTCATTCCGTGGGGTATGTTGCCGCCCTTTTTACACTCTCGTGTTAGTTCGCAATCAGTTCAACTTCGAGCCTGAGAATACGTGAACTGATGCTTCCAATGCAACTCACTCTCCGCGTCATTAATTGCGAGCGCCCCGTCTTGACTATAGCGCTAGGCTTAGAGTGCAATGCATTGGTACTCACTGGCAGTAGTAATAGGCCTCCGAGTCGTATTAGTCTCTGTTGCAGACCGTAAAAGCCGACAAGCATCGAGTGATATTGAGTTCCAAATCTCAAGTTTCAGACTTGCTAGTACTGTACTACTTGCAAGTCCGTTTAGCCGCTGGTATTCCGTGGCCATGGACCATGGTGACTGAGTATGATATAATCATGATGTCCGTATGTACTTGTGAGCGGATTTCCAGCATTCCTTGGCACTTCTCCGAACGCGAGGACTAAATGGAATCCCCTCCTCCTCCTCCTCCTACTCCTCCTCTCTGACTCGGACGTGCCTCCGGATGGGATGATGTGATTGTCACATCAATGTCTGTGACATAACGTGATTGGGCGTCCAACGTTCAACTTCAACCTCTATTCTCAGAACTTGAACCATTATGCAACACTGTGTCAACTTTTCATTCATACAGCCAATGCCATGACTTCACTCGTGCCATGCGGTCTTGATACACCGTTCACGGTCATGTTCAATATGACATCGGTGCTTGCAACTTGAACGTCAAGGCCTACTGTCTGTCTTCCAACACTGGCAAATCAAACGCACTCCACTCGGACTGATTCTTCCATTTCTCATCATGGACGACCTTCAGAAGATGGGCATTCCTCTTGGTATCAATTGACCTTTCCCCGCACTGACAGTACTGAGTATACCAGAATTGACCTTCTAACAAACAAATCCGTATCAAGTAACACGCGGCCTAATCCTCAGGCCCAGTATTCAGGCGGAACCATTTGCGGGGCAGGCACGTGATGTAGCGCTGGATACACACAATGCAAAAGCATGAAGCGGGACACTCACGACCAGCTAATAATATCGAATAGCCGACGTAAAGAGTAACGTCGTTGCTGCCCCAAACTACGTGATCTGACAGAGCCTTGCGGGGTATGTTGCCACCCTTTTTGTAATGTCGTGTCGTAATTGGATCCTGTCAAGGGCAACTGATATACTTCCACTATCGTACATCTTACCCCATAATGAATATTGATTGCGGCTGCCCCCTCACTTTTAGAAAGTAGCGCTTGGCTTAGCGTACAATGCATTGGTACTCAGCAACAGGCCTCCGAGTGCGGAGTTCCGAGTCCAGACTTGCTACCATGTACTACTTGGCGGATAGTAGTCAGAACAATATTTCCGTCTTGCATACTGCAAGTCCGTCTAGCTGCTAGTAGTGACTATGGTGATTGTGTATGATCATCGTGATGTCCATATGTGTGAGCGGATTGTCAGCACTCCTCCCCAGCAGGCTCCGCCGTTCTCGTGCGTCTGGACGGCATAATGTGACAGTCACATCAATGTCTGTGACATAACGTGGTTGGGCGTCGGCGTCGTTCAACTCTGGTTCAACTTGTACCTCATCCTCTTTCCTCAGAGCCATTGAACCTCTTCTACTGTGCACGCTGCACGGCTTCGGCGCACTACCCTACATTTGACTCTACACCGTGCCGATTCCCCCATACAGTCGGCGCCATGACTTCACCTACGTCATGCGGTCCTGATACCCCATTCACTGTTCTCGTTCAATACGACGTCGGTGCTTGCAACGCCAAGGCTTACTGTTTCTCATCAGAGAAATCAAACGCACTGCAATTGATTTTACCATTTCTCATTGATGACCTTCAGAAGATGGGCATTCCTCTTCCGACTCTGTCAAGCTTGGCCAATTGGTCGCACGGAACAGTTCTGTGCTATTGGGACAGAGAAGCGGCTTTGAGACACGGCGTTAGTATCCCTTCCATGTAGACTTGCAGGTATGGAGTGTTGAATCACATCTCACTCACTCGATCCGCAGCCGAAGGTCGTGGATACCCTGGACTCCGCTGTGCACTTGGGGCGTCTGTCAGAGTTCAGCATGTAAGCACTATGATCTTGAACGGCCCGTTGCACAAACTGACTTTATATGTTTCCTTTTTTGTAGCAAAGAGATGAAATTGCTGACTTGGTAAGTCATTCTAGGTATCATATAATAGCTTGACTTGACGGCCACTGTACATCAGGACTGAGACGGAGGACGTCGGCGGACTGAATCAAGATCCTGAAATCATGCAACCTGTGAACGAAGTAGGATCCTCCAATCGGTCGCGGTCGCGTTCCACGGATAGTGACGACGGAATCCGGGCGACGCGCCCTCGGAACGACCGTTATGATGATGGCGAACAATTCGACTCTACTCTACTGCACGATCGCGTCAACATGAAGGCGCCTGCATCTGAATCGACTACTGACCGCCCGAGCGCAGGTAAGCCTCAAGCATCTACTGGTGACGCTGATCCTCATTCTCTAGTAGGCTCCGTGGCCCTCTCCGCGCCGCCATCTGTTGTCACCTCTGGCAGCAGATTACCGTAAGCAATATCCAACGTCTTCCGATGCTGCGATAGGCTCATGTCCGTTTAGGCGGGCTTCGGGGATGGGACCTATGCAAGTAGATGCTCGCCTCTCAAAGGGGCCGACTCACCTCAAGCCCATGGACGTACTCTGTTAAAGCCTACCCGGAGCAATGCCCGCAACTGGGAGGAAGAAACCGAATCCGTTGAAGAAGCAGCACCCAACGATCTAGGTGTTCAAGAGGTACTTGGAGCCCCGCCCAGGGTGCCGCTGTTTTATCCAGACTCCGAAAGCAGCATCTTTGGGTCCTCTCCTGTGCTCGGGCCTGAAGCTTCGACCTGTGATGATCTTGGTCCTCAGGCTTTGACCGATGATGCTCTCAGCCGAATCCAACTCAATCGGAATGCTCAGCTGCGTCGTCCTGTCGAACATCAACTCACCTCGCACAGCGCAGCCGAGGGAACTCAATCTTACTCTGCCGGGAACTCCTTGGACAGTACAGTATCTCCGGCTCGAACTCAGAGCGACGATGCAACGCTGGCTAGGCTAGGACAGTCTGCGACGGGAACTTATGATGCTATCTCTGGTTCTGTGATCTCGGCGACTGCTACCTCTCAGGCTCTGGCCTCCGTTCGTTCATACGCCTACCCCGAGTTTGAGAACCTCCGACTGAAACTCGCGGAATCGGAGATCGAGAACAAGAAGATCAACGATGTTCTGGCAGCGCGTGAGGCCGTCATCAGAGATCTCGAGGAGGAGGGAGCGCAGCGCAGGAGAGACGGTCGAACGCTGACTATGCGGTTGATCGGTGCGTCCCCGATCAATTTTTCAGTGGCAGAGTCTTAGAGCTGGGCGGGTAGAGGCTGAGTGGCAGATCGATATATTGCGCGCTGAGGAGGAATGTGAGTACAGTATGCCACAACATCCGTCGTGACGCTGACTCTGGTGTGCGTCGCGGTCGCTAGACAGCGCGCGTTGCTTCGGCTACCTCGCTGGCGAATTCCAGAAGGTTGCCCCGGAGAGGCACGGTACGTCGAGTCTCACTGTCGCTGGCTTAGTCTTTCGTTGAACGAAAGACTAAGTGGACATAGATGGTACTAACTCGGACTTGTCTGTAGCTCTGATAATCCCCATTCTTATCGACAGCTCTCTGGACGACTAAGTCTCAGTGAACGGGGAAGGCATGGTTCATCGGAATTCACATACTATATCTCATTCCCTTGGACGATATTGTTGTGTCTCTATTCCATGTGTTTGTATCTTGTATATCATTAGCGATCGTAGCCCAGAGCGGATCATGCAGCTGGATCTGCATTTGGCGATCGGACTGGTCAGAACGTGTCGCCGATGTTAGCTCAGGGCTTGCAAGTACCTCGCGATAATGGGGACGCTGCAATCTCTGTATCATCGCGCTACTCCCTTCAGTGCAGAATCAAGTCTGAACCGCTCAACCGGATTGACTTGTATTGTGTAAGCTGCCCGACTTCAGTCAATACTTTCATGACGGCGAACGCAAATGATTTCGAAACACGCAGATACGCACAGGTACATACTTACAGATAAACAGGACGCTGGGAGCCTCACGATTTTGACTCCTTACTCACGCGCCCGGGAGTCATGTCCCCCACTGCTCCCGGTACCAACAATCACCTCTCCGGTCAGGCGCGACATCTGCAAAAACGCGTCCACGAGCGCGGGTACAACGAACGGCGCTTTGCATTCCCGGCCCACGTCGGCCACGTCCGCCTCCGCAAGTTCGCGCCGCCGCCGCTCGTCCCGGAGCGCACGCTCTGCCGCTTTTCGGGCCTCGTACTCTGCCCTTAGCTGTGCGCGAAGCTCTGTGAAGCGCAGGTGAGCACAAATGTCATGTTTACACCGGTACGGAGAAACCCGCTCACTGGTAAAATCGTCTTCCACAACTGGACCTACAGGTGGCTCGGGCGCGGGACGCGCTCCTAGTCGCTTGAGCTGCGTCTGTAGAGCGATCTCCCGTGCGGATAGGGCGGCGATCTCCCGCCTGACGTCCCACATCTCGCGTGTTAGGCTGCTCACGTTGCCGTTAGATGTGACGGGTGTTGCACTCGTCGCAAGGCTCAGCGCTGAGGGGATGGCCGGAACAGCCTGAGATGAGGACGCGTCGGGAAAGGAAAGGTGTTGAAGCGGTCCATGAGCGACATGCCTGGAGAGGAGCGCGTGGGGCTGTTGGCCGACAGTGACGGTCGTCTCCTCGACTTTGACACTGATGTCGGCTGCTGCATCGCTCCCTGAATGAGATTGCGGGGGTTCGGCATTGCGCAGGGGCGTGTGCTGCAAGGGCGGTCGTGCTGCAGAAGCCTTCGGGGTGTCTGGGATGTTGACGGGTTGCCTGCCTTCCGTCTTGATCGAGTCAGAGGTTGTGCTTTGCAAACCGAAGCCCGTTTTGAAGCTCGTCTCAGGGTCACTTGGCTTACTCGATAGTTGCCCGTCGACTTTTGGGTGCTCTGAAAAGCGCGTATCACGATGTCAATAACTTCTGTTTCCCTGCGACGCCCAGCGTGGCGAGCCACTCACCCGACCGTGAAGAGACCACGCCGGAAGGACGCGCCATCGGTGAAGCGGCTAGTCTCGCTAGAGTCGTTGACTTCGGGGCGCTTGGTACCTTTCCATCGGCATACGAACGCGTGGAATAACTATATGACGGCCCTGCGCGAGGAGTGTACCCCGTAGGGTGCCTCACGCCTGGTGCGGTTATGTATGAAGCTTTACTGAAGGTACCACTATAACGCAATGTCGATGAGGTCCGGTACAACGCAGTGAAATGTCATTGAACTCACTCCATCGACAGCCCTACCATAGATCTGCCGAAGGGATTACCATCCGATTCTTTTCACAAGAGCCGCTGAGTCCACTTACATGGAGCGGGTGAGTAAGCTTTGTCTGTCAATCGCCTCAAAGGCAGCGGAGATATACTTCCGCAGGTACTGAAGCACATAACACGGAATACATGATTACCACACTTGCCCAGCGACTGATAATCATGATAGGACGCACGCTGCCGTCATCGAGTGGCCAGATGCACTTGATTATGCCTGATTGCCAGGCGCACGCAGAATCCTGAGGCAGAGGTAGCCCGAGAAACGTGAGGTCACCGTTCACGAATTCGTCCAGATTCAGGGTTGTATCATCCCGGTATTCCTTTATTCGCTGCGTCTTCTCTCCTTTGTAATGCAGGAATACGGTGATCAGCATGGTGATGTGAGTTTGCTAGCAACAGGGCGCTGTCAGATGGGGCGTAATGTCGACATATGACCAAGACTGATTCTGACCTTATGGATATAGCGCCTTAGTCGTCGGAGAGGATTGCACAGGAGCTTGTGCAGGTAATTGCGACCGAAGGTACTAGTAGAGACCAGGCGATATATGTCGATCTACGGCCCGTTGCCTAGGGGTCTGGATCTGCTTCGCTGAACGGAAGAATGAGATGAAGAATCGTGAGAGCAGTGAGAACGCTCACTCCCCACACAAGTTCGTGGCCACGCAACGTGGGCACAACGCGTATCGACGATCGTGACCGTTCCATCTCCACGCATTGTAACCACGTGAATGTGACACTCGCGTTGAACTAGCGCAGTCACTCGGGTACTGACGGAAGGGCATCACAGCACTCACAACGATGTCGATAGTGTTGGCATCACTCTGGTAACGAACGATGGGGTGAAACGTGCAAATCGAGGCCACAGGAGGTGAGTGTCCGATGTTATGCCATGGCACGGTCACGTGCACGAGTCGCCGCCTTGACTCTCAAGTAGAATCGCCAAAGGTGCTTCCATGCAGGGTCCTTGATAGACATTCGAGATATGAATTATAGTATGTACCAATCTCACCACAGCGTCCATTGATCCGGACCATCCTCAAGCCGCGCCGCATCGATTCGGATCTGGAACCGGGATATCCAACGGGCCAGACAGCCCCAGGAGAGACTCAGGACCGAATGCGAATAAGATGCCTCGCATCTGCGCGCAAATCAGCACTCCTCGACAGGAATCCTCGTCAACGATCCGCTCACCGTGTCGTTCATGAGCCAGCCTCGTTAGCCTTTCCTCAATCAGTTCCGCGCGCCGCGTATGGTCTGTACACGAGACACCGGACGGTAAGTCCTTTTTAATTGACACCGCGGCGGACAGGGTGACACTCACATCTCAGGAGAGCGCGCAGCTCAGCTATCTCCTCATCACATTCTGGCCGATACGTCTGGTAAGTAACTGCGATAGCCCCCCGCTGTGAAGACCCGGCGAAGCAAACGCAGACGTACCCAGGCGCTGCATACGGATCGCCCACTCCGACCTCTCTCCCTCCTCTCCCCCCTGCTTCACGCTATTGCTCATGGGCTCATTAGATTTCGGAGCGCTCGAAGCATCATTGACGTCGTTTCCCCGTGCAGCGAGCCGGCCTTGCAGTGTCTTGGTCTCGGACAGGGCGTGAGAAGGGACAGAGCTCCGAGCGGTGGTATCCATCGAGGAAGACACAGAGCCAGAGATAGCAGCACCCAAGACGGCGTTCCCTTCTCCAGTCAGAGCCACAGCGTCGGTACCAGCCAGAGTGCTCGACGTAGAATTCAGACGCAGCGACGAAGATGCCATAAGACCTTTGGGCGTGCCGAAGACGGTCGACGATCCGGACGGCGCAGGTCCCCCCTTTGAGTCGCCAGTCGTGGCGGTCATCTGCGGCACGTCGAAAAGGCGTTCTGTGTGCAACATTCCCAGTATTTTGAGACCACGGGCTGCACCGCGACCGCGGCCGTTAGTCGAATAGCTGCCGCTTCTAGAACTTCCGGCGACGGGCTTGTTCTCCTTCTCCGCGAGGCCACCTTGTTCGCCTTGTTGAGTCTGCGCCGAGACACCTGTGGGCGTAGCCAGATAGCCGAGATCCCAAGCTGAACTCTTGAGACCAAGCACAGGGGAGGAACCAAAGATGCTCTCGGTGTCGGAGGGGTAGAACAGAGGCGTTGATTTCAATGAGGGGCGTCCACCTTGGGTAGCCAGTTGAACACGAGCGTGCGTATCTTCCGGGGCTTTGGGCTCTGGATTATGCGTGGCGGGATCCGTCCGCCGCCGTTTCGGCCCTGAAGGTTCGTCGAGGGTAGGCGAGGCTGGCCGCTTGGGTAATTGTATTCCTGAGTCCTCCTCAGGTACAGGGGCCTTGAGCGGCAGTCTAGTCGGTCGTCAGCGTAGCTCACGTCATGCGAGGTCTAGGCAGCCGAGAATTACTCACAGTATTGGAACCAGGTTTGAGAACATGACGGAATCTCTGGAGTGCATTATCAGTGAGCCGGGAGCTTGAGATCTGCAGTAGAACAACGTACACGTGGTTCGCTCTGTGATATTCTTCGTCCCAAGGTAGCGACTGATACTTGTCCACGGCCGCCGCGAGCACCTTACGTATTGCACATGAACTGACGCTACAAACAATATGAGATCGACATCGCTTACCTGTCCTTCAGCCTCGCTGACGGCCCACTCACAAAGCAGCACTGCCGCCCGCGGGGTACAGAGTGAAAGTTCAGAATTGACCGTCGCTTTGTTCAATTTGATGCCGTACGCCTTGAAGAACTTCTTTGCCTTTTCCGTGTAGAACGAATCTGCGCATTTGTCGACTTTGCGGCGCTGCCAGTATGGGAAGTTCATACCGGAAACCTTGAAATGGACGGAGGCTAAAAGCGCGTAGCCTGAGAGCCTTGGGTGTGCAGAATCATTAGAAGACATGTTGAAGACGTGTTAACGAGCGTGTGAATCTTGATAGTAATGTATGGGACGCGAGGCGGGGGCCTAGTGACCGTGCGGCGGCGCGATGGTGGTGGTTCAGGTTGAGGGACGGGCGTGTGCAGCCAGGGGGAAAGCCGTGGCTGGCAGCCACCACGCGCGGCATCGTCCGCCTGCTAGTGACGCACGTGGGTGGCGTCTGCGTGTTTGTCCATCGCGGAACGCATCGCGTTTAGGAGGAACTCGAGGGTCGGAGTATGTACGCACCTCCAAGCCAGATAGCTCAGTGAGCGTCGTTGTTGTTGTACCGCACCAGAAGGGCCGAGGCGAGTCACTGGCAGCCCCAAGGCAGGCAGCCAATGAGACGCGACTCTTCGGCCCTGCGAGAAGAAGCGTATGCGCGCGGGCGGGAGGCTCACCGCAGACGTCGCGAAGAGTGCGTATCGACAGCAAGCCACGACCCCAGTGTGGGTGGAAACAAACAAACTGGACCGCGTCGACCAACAGTCGGAGGCAATTAGAATGAGCGCTCGCCGCTCTCGGCGGCATCGAGAATCGAGATTTGGTGATTGCCGAGTTATTGAACTACGGAACTTCAACTCACACACATCACATCCCTTCACCAACTCGCGTCGCCAGCGAGGATTATGATCTAGCATCAGCTCGTTCCGAGTACGAACGCTTGCCAACTCCTCGACTCGCTGTCCACGACTTTGCCCTCGAGATGGCACTGACGGCGAGGGTAGCTCACGTGACAATCTGCGGATCGCACTAGGCGCAAGACCCGCTGGGACGACCCCCGCACCGGCCGGTATCTTGTAACTTGGGGCTATCGTTCTTGTTCTCGTTCATATGCGGCAGCCGAGGCCGGGGAAACATATAGAACTTTAGTAGTGTAGCCTCTTTGATCACTTCCTCGCACCCTTTCTTCTCTGCTCGATGATCCACTGTGACCGGGTCATTGGGTGAGCGGGCGCTCCCAGTTGATCGGACTTCCGGCGTCGGGTCCAAGTTTTTGCTGATCTTTATGAACTTACATATATCACGAACTGACATTGATAATAGGACAGCCGTGTTCCATTGGTCGAGGCAAAGCCTCGTCGGTCAATTGGAGGTATGTCTTGCAAACTTCCACCGCTGCTGCTCAGATCACAGACGATAACGTTTCACCGTGTATCTGATAGAGCAGTCACTCCTGGTCACGGGCGAATTCAAGGATAATTGATCCTGTATCGACCACACGCCCTAACATTTAACTCATGGGCCGGTATAAGTCCTTGCCTCCCGTAGGACCCGACGTTCAGAACCGCGAAACAGTAGAGCGCATCGCGGACTGCAGTAGTAAGTGTTTCGCGTTGTCCCGTAGCATAAGAACCTGGTTCGGAGAGGGAACTACTCCCCGAATTGTAGTATGAAGGTATTCGCCGAAGTCCATCGCTTCGACTCAAGTGTTCCTAGACACCACATCCTGCCGTGTTTCTGGGCGTACTCGCCACGATCGAGCGTGAGTTCGCGCGTCTCGTATGGGACCACACTGGATATGGAGACACCGACAAGAGGCATGGATCGTGGAAGGTGCGTGGCGAGTCCTCGTTAAGATGCCGCCTCCTTACTCCTGTTACAAGTAAACAAGCGACACAGCAGGTGGCTGGAGTTGGGCTCCACTGGAAGACGACGTAAGGCCCGGGGCGTGTTGATTTCGACGCGAGTGATGCACGGAGGACGTGAGTAACACGATATGTGACTAAAGCGTGCTGACTTTAGCCCGTTGCATCAAAACTGCATGCGGAAAGGGATGATCTCCAGACCGACCTGTTATCTCAAACAGTGCAGACTCGAACGACGTCGATAGGCTCTAGGGCTCCCGCACCCAAGTTCGTCTGCCTGGATCTTCTCCGAAAAGAACTCAGAATATCGAATGCCAGAGACCCAGGAAATCCCCCCTGTCTTACATCACGAAGCGGTCATGTCATACCCTTTCCGCGTCGCGACATAGGGCACGCCCAGCGCCTCGTCCAAGCTGTGCTCATCGGATAGAGACCATACGGTGCGTGCGATCATTGTCTTTTTTTTTTTGATTCCCTTTATTGTACGCGAGGGCCGGGCCCTATGTAGACAGATCTCTAGCTCTACGAGTAAGTACGGAAATGTTCGTTCGGGTTCAGTCTGAGCATGAGCTCTTCGCCAGAGCGAGAGCTTGAGTGAGTATAGTAGGAGAGTGAAGGGGAGATAGCCTGGTGTCGAGGCGTCAGTAGCAGTAGTAGCGAGTATGTACAGTAGCAGGCGAGTTCAGTGAGGTCAGGAATAGTTCTACATGTGAGGGAAATGGACTCCCGCCCGGGAGACGACGCGCGTTCGATATGGCTATCGGGCTGGACGAGCGATCTGGCTCAGAGCGGGACTGGGTGAGGTGCGCAGGGCTGGCGATCATTGTCACTGCGCTGACCGGTACCCTGAAACCCGTGGGCAGTTGAGCGACAGACGGTATTTCCAGGCTCTCGGGCTTAAACGTCCCCGCGCCAGCGAGGCACAGCGACGTCTCGGTGTCCGAGAAGCCACACGCGCGCGTAGCTTTCATGAAACAATGGTTGGATCACACAGAGCCAGCTGCCAGTGCGCCCTATCCAACGCCTAAATACGTGTGAAGATTATACAAATCTACGGAACCATCGTCCCATACATGAAGGAAGAGATAGTACGTGTTTCCTGACCGTCCCTCAAACACACGACATTGGGCCTCCGCAACGATGTCATGCTACATTCAAGTTGACGACTGAACAAAACCGGCCGACTTGGCTCGCAGCCGACTTTGCGTGAAAATCAAGACGGTTGAGATCTGACAACGATTCATTATCTCACTGGTCAGCACGTACCAAGCTGCGGCGGCGTTGAACTCACCATAGCCAATTGGAAGCAAGCTTTTCAGCTCCTCCATTTGCAGTTCGTCGCGCTGCCTTAGGTCTTTCCACGACACACGGCGCAGTCAGTATGATGACGAGGACCGTCGGCCCGGCAGCAGAAGACTCACCTCTCATCCGATCGCAAAGTTGTGCAACCTGCGTGTCATGATCTGCCGGAGCAGTGAGATCCTACGCCGGCAGGCAAGTGAGGCGCACAACACACCAGGGGGCTGCCCGCGCCGTGCGACATGGGCCCTCTCCGCCTCTTCGCGCGCCAGCTCCAAACGCCGCATGTCCGCAAGGTCGCTCTGAATCTTCCTAGTTTCCGTCTCGATACAGAGCGCGCATGTCTTCTCGGTGTCGCTGGCGCCTTCCGCTTCGGGTGCAAGTGGGCGGGACAGGGCTTGATCCCTCTGGTCGGCCTGTTCGCCAAGGATCGTGCGCAGAGGAGAAGCAGCAGCCGTCGCCGAAGGAACCATAGGACCAGAGAACATAGCGTCGACATCGAGCTCAGACAGACCAGCAAAAACGCTGCCAGACTGGGATAGTGCGGGACTCGGGCCTGCCATAGGATGGGCTGGAAGCTGGGTGGCTACGGCAGGCGGCCCTGGAGCTGGGAGCAGCGTTGGTAGGCCCCATACTTCGGGCTCTGGCGATGCGAACTTGCCGGTCGTGGAATCGTCAGAAAAGATGGTCACTGGGGCGTTGACTGGATGTTCTGTTCCGGCAACGTTGGGGCTGTGCGCTGCTAGAACGCCGCGTTCGTCGCAATCGACTGGAGTGCTGCTACCAGGACTTGAGCTCGAGGTCCTGGCGGTGGGCTGGTTCACCTTCCCCTGAGCGGCACTCGATGTGTCTTCTACACGGAGGTCGTCCTGTTCTTTAGTCCGCGTCGGAGCACCGTTAAGAGTCTTGGAGACAAGATTCGAGTCAGAGAGAACGAGTGGCGAGCCAAAGAAACGCGTCGTTGCAGCCTTCGAGACAGAAGTTCTTGCGACGGCTTGGAGTTGTCTCGAGCGATCTGATTCTTGGAAGCCGGCTGTTTCCCGCGAGCTCCATATACCCGCCGTTCGGCGTGGACACTGGTTCGACGGCGTTTCGATTGCTCGTCGCCGGGCGTAGGCGAACGCTTCCGCTTGCCAGCTACCGCCACTGTATCTAGAGCGTCTTGCGTCTTACGCTGTTGTAAAGCACTTGGGAACCATGGGTACGATACATTTAGTTCAAGGAGAAGTAAGCCGAGACACTCACAGTGCGAGCGGCCCTGAGACGAGATCAACGGAATGTCTATGAGCGTGTTAGAGAAGAATGCCCTCATGTATTATGCTCCAGTACATACATGTGATTTTCCTTACGGAACTTGGGATCTGGGGGAGCCAACCTGATGTCGTTCACGGCCGCTTGCAACGCCTGTCATCTCCGAGTATGAGTGCATACCTCCAGTCGTACATCAATGCACCTACCTTTGCTTCCTTTTCCCGTTTAAACTTCCATACACAATGAAGAACCATCTTGTCTGGTTCCGAGTCCGGTGTCTTGAGCGTCATGCGGCCGGGTGGTGCGAAGCCGTATGTGCTGAGGTATGTGCATGCCAGGTTCTTGTAGAACGCCTTTGCGGTGTCACTCAATCCAAGATAAATGGCCTTATGAATGTGGGAGGTATCGAAGCAGACGGTGCCTTTCAGCTTGTACTTCGGCGGGTCGGATGGTCGTGTTGCAGATGGAGGCATGTCTTGCGAGTGAAGTGATCTAGTAATGTGTGGAATGAGTGGATGTTGGGGACGGCTGCGTGCTAGTATGAAGCAGTTCAAAGGGGCATGATGCGGTAGACGGGCGAAGTTTGGAATGAAGAAAGGGGGCGGCGGCTGGCGGCGGACGGTAGTTGAACGACCTCGTCGCCGCGTCACCTGACGTGACCGGTCGACGCGTGTCAGCGCGTGTCACCACATCTGGAAATATTGGAAGGGGAACAGCGCCACAAACTTCAGCTTCAGCGAGACTCACTGTTTGACGAAAAACGTCTACCTTCTATGCAAGAGATCAATGCAGGCCAAGGAACAGCAGGTTGTGCGTACCGCGTTCCGTAGGATATGATTTAGCCATGAGCCCACCAAGCCAGAAATACCGACAACTTAAGGCCGCATGCATGATTGCACGTAAATGGCATACGGAGTTGCGTCTCTATCCATCGTGCGTGAGCACAATCCGCTGACGAGGCGAACATCGAGAGCGCAACGTAGATCAAGGTGCCCCGGCCGGCGGTGCCGATGTCGCGGGGGAAAGTCCTGGGGAGCGGGAAGCTTGGGATGTGTATGAATGGGCCTACACATGGCATGGCTGAACCACGACAGGGGCGTGTTCAACAACGACGGAGCGCGACTCCTTCGGAAGTAAAATTGGCTGTTGGTCAATGACAAATGCGCGGAGACAAATCGTACTCCAGCTCGATCTCGAGATGAGTGATAGCCGAGATATCGCGGAGTCTCCTAATCACATCACATCACATCGAGATCACATCTTTACCAACCTTCCGCCCGCGCCCCCAGCAGAGTCCGTACGATCCACTGCGCACCCTTAGGTGGCTGTTCGTCGCACTAGACTCTGAGTCTACGCGCGTCGCGCCACCGTTGGGCACGGCGGGCTAGGAGCACGTGACACCACGCGGGACCCGTGCAAAGCAAGAATGGCTGGGATGTGGCTGGTGCGAGGCTAGCTTGAATAACTTGGGGCACGTTCTTGTTCTCTGTTCACACACAGTGTCCGATCGCCGGATCGGGTAGCACCGAGAACTTTAGTAGTGTAGCTCCTTTGACCACTTCCTTTCGCACCGTTTATTCTCTATGCTTGGTCGGCAACCAGGCGAACGGCGCCCCGAGTACTCTCGAGCGGATCCCGGCAGGGTTTAGTTTTTGACGGTTTGAACCAGTATCCTTTGTTGTACTGGGTATGCAACTGCAGAGAGCTCTGTCGAAACGAGGAGGCAATATCAACCTTGGGAGTTTCCTAGAGAGCTCCCACCAAGTCAAAGTCTGTTGCGCATCGATCTGCCTAACGACAAGCTGGGACTGGTCGCAATTGCATCGCGTCGCGTCGCATTGAAGGGTAACTCTAGAATGCAGCTTAGACATATGGACACACTCGGTACCACCATCTAGGATGCGCACAATGCAGCGCATCCTCAAAAACGCATTGAAGGTCTCATCTGACCTTGCTGCAGTGCATATCACTGTTATTTTCGCATTTCAAGCAGAAGACGTTGGGGTCAAGTTGGGCATCAAGGAATAAAACATCGTGAGGTCCCTGGACCGTCGTACGCGTGTCGCCGCCGTCGCGCGAACAGCGATGCGCATGTGACGGCGTCATGATCAGGTGACCCCGTGAGCAGGCTGTTCGTCCGCCGCGTCGATGCGCGACCCAATCTGAACCACGACTATCGCACCGCGTACAGGTACGCTGCCGCATCCGTCGCCTTGTCCTCAACCTCTGCATCACTACCCTCGCATACCACGCTCTCCTGCGCACAACCTTCCTCCTATCATGGCTGATATTCCGGGCCTTCAACCGCAATCCGACTCGGAGACCTTGACCGCAACGGAGTACAGGCTGGCCTGCACGGTGCTTTTTGAGTCATACTATTATAAATCTCCCAATTATAACAGGATGTCGCGCTCTGTGCAAACGATATGGAAGGGCTATACGAGGACCTTTCTCACGGCGTCCAGGATGGCCAATCCCCAGAAGATAACGCTCAAGACTCTTAACCGCACTGCAGCCAGGCTTTTCGTTCAGTGGAAAGGGCCGATGAGTCACGCACAGGTGAGCAAAGTGGCATTTAGTAATGCGGTATTGAAGGCTCATGATGCGACGGGAAAGGCACTGCAAGCATGTGCAGACAAGTTTGAGTCCTCCGTATGGTCATCAGACATCCGGAAATCGTTTGCTGTGTACGTGCTATGCACGCATTTTATGAGGGATTCCTTGACTGAAGCGCGATTCAGAACCTCTATTTGTTTCGAGCCTATGCAATTCCTTCCGGTGTCGTAAGTGTCATTCCGATTCCTCACTCGTAATGCATATGCGTTTGTGTTCATGGTCGTCCTTACAGCGTTCCTTCTTTGCCGCTGGCGGAAGCTGCGCGGGAGGTAGAGGCATTGTCCCTCAAGCGGCCGCCTTCGCCAATGCCCCAAGAGCACATCGAGCCGAAGCGCCCTCGTATTCATTCGGCCAAGCGGCAGAAGGAGCCTGCAGTTAACGGGATGCAAACCGCTTACACTGGTCAAGACTCTCGTGCGTCTTTCTCTGCGGATGCAAGTGCGGATGCCCCTCTCGACGAAGACGCAAAGCACCTCTTTGGCTCGTCACCTATGCCTGATCCTGACGCCTCCGACTTGAGTACTCGTTCTCAGACTACGTCCAACGATGATGCTACGATACGCCCAAGAGAAGAAACCAGATACGTAGATTTCAGTACGGAATCCTCCCGGCGAGCCACAACCCAGCGCAAGCAGAAGGAGAACCAGGCCGGTGCCTACAAACCTCATGCATCCCATGGCTTCAACGTCACAAGGCTGCCGCTCGTCAATGCTGGTGTCTGTGCCAACACTCTGCAACCTGCGCCCCCTGTCTCCTGCTATCCTATGGCCGCTCTAGCTGACAACGCTGGTGGGTCTGCGCTAGCCACTGCGACACCAGCCCGGCTTCTTTCAGCTTCAGGTCCGGACCCGTCTGTCGCTGGGACCACGTCGACTGCTCTAGGCGACCTCGAAGCTCCGAATCGTACTGTGGTCTCTAGCTCTGTGATGTCTGGTGCAACGGATGTTGGTCCCTCCCACACGGCCGGACAACCCGGAAGCACCAATGGGCTACTCGGATCTGGACGGGGCACTGAACATACCGGCTGCTGCGAGAAGGCACGCGCGCTAGTGATCTCCACGCACCAAACCGAGCTCGCGGAAGCTGCTGCTGCAATGCACCGTATGGACGAGGCACGCAGGAGGCAGGAGGTAGCCGACGTGAAGCAGAACATGCGGGCCTTCAGTAAGTCTGCGCAACCTTCCTCGAGCGGTTGGCTCTAACTCCCGTCAACGTTGGACAGAACAAGCGAGGCTGCTTCAATCGCTTCGCGCTAACGAGAAATGTGAGTACTATCTCACCTCATCGTGTTTGTCGCTATGCAGAGGGCTGACTCGTGTGTGCGTTGGACCAAGTGTATATGCGCCGCGGCCATGTACTTGATGACGAATTCTTGGAGTTGTCCCAGAGTCAGTACTATCATCATGATGTTGCTTCATCGGTCGGCGAGCGAGTGCGATGCTGACTCGAATCCCTTTGATCTAGTTCGTTCGCATGCGAACTAGCCAGGACGCCTTTGTAAGTCGTGGCGTCATGTCGTAGGACAATCAACACATACTATTTATTCTGTCATTTTTCGGACGATACGTCTGGCGTCATGTATGTAAACGGGTATTAGAAATGGTGCAGCTGGATCTGCGACTAGCATAATGTATCGCTTCGTCTATATACTAGGGTCATCGTTAAGTAGATGTTGGGCAATACGCGGTTGCTTTGTATGCGTCTCGCACCGCCTCACATGCGCGTAGCTCGCCGTCAATTGTCCCCAGTGACGCGTAGACCTAGATTCCAGCAGCGATGCAGGGATGCGTGGCACTGAACCATATGTACGAACGTATGTCAATGCTTGCGTTGGTTTCCCGTTTCAGTACTTGTCAGCGTAGCAGCGCGGCTGGCTACGTCATCCAGCGATCGTACACGCACGTAGTCAGGTGACTCATGGCGGCGGGGTGGCTCTTTCGATACGATGTTCTTGACTTCGAACCACCACTGCGTCCTGGTACGCCGTTCCTCTGCGACATCGCCATGCCTTCTACTTTTCCGTCATTACACCCTCTGCCACATCTTAGGATAGTTGTCACATTCTTTTACAATCCCATATCTGCCACCCCCGAAGCAGATCGCGTTTACGAGCAGGATACTCGTGATTTACTCACCGCTCAAGGCATACCAAAGCCAAATACCGTGGACGTCCACTACACCAATCCAGAAGTAACGGAGGTGGCCTGTGTGTGGGACGGGAAGTCACAGAATGAGCAGGTAGGTCCGGTGCACTTCGAGGCTAATACGTCTGCTCAATGGAGTCGAATCAGGACGCGAAGGCTGCGTGGACCAGGTTCACAGCCAACGGAAGCTGGAAGCTCTACGAAACGCACGATATGTACGTATCCTCATGCAGAAACTACCGTCTACCTCACGTAACGACTGACATAACGACGCCCAGACGCACAGTTGTGGTGTCCGTCACAGAAATCCCATCGTAAGTCCCTCGCAAACTCCTCTGGCCCCGCGTCATGCTCATGGCCGTGCAGCGTGTCACCGGAACTTGGACTCGTGCGGGAAGTGGATGCTCTATCCTCTCAGCAACTCGACTCACCCATGATTGACGGTCGGTCGCGGCCGCAACGCGCATTGACCATTACCCTCGATGATGACGAAGAATTTGCAGCAGCCGAAGATACACCCATTAATCTAGTCAACTCGCCGAACATGCCGCTTTTCTACCCAGACTCTGAGAGCGGCTCCTCCCCTGTGCTCGGGCTTGATGCGACGATCCGTGATGATCTTGGTCCTCAGGCTATGACTGGTGATACTCCCGGCCGACTCCAGCTCAACCAGAATGCTCAGCTGCGTCATCCTGTCGAACATCAACTTCTTGCTTCGCCCAACGCAGCCGAGAAGGAAACGCAATCTTACTCTGCCGGGAATCAACGTCTCGCTTCCTTGGGAACTTATCATGCTGTCTCTGGTTCTGTGTCCTCGGCGACTGCTACCTCTCAGGCTCTGACTTCCGTTCGTTCATACGCCTACCCCGAGTTTGAGAACCTCCGACTGAAACTCGCGGAATCGGAGATCGAGAACAAGAAGATCAACGATATTCTGGCAGCGCGTGAGGCCGTCATCAGAGATCTCGAGGAGGAGGGAGCGCAGCGCAGGAGAGACGGTCGAACGCTGACCATGCGGTTGATCGGTGCGTCCCCATTCAATTTTTCAGTGGCAGAGTCTTAGAGCTGGGCGGGTAGAGGCTGAGTGGCAGATCGATATATTGCGCGCTGAGGAGGAATGTGAGTACAGTATGCCACAACATCCTTCGTGACGCTGACTGTGGTGTGCGTCGCGCTCGCTAGACAGCGCTCGTTGTTTCGGCTACCTCGCTGGCGAATTCCAGAAGGTTGCCCCGGAGAGGCACGGTACGTCGAGTCTCACTGTCGCTGGCTTAGTCTTTCGTTGAACGAAAGACTGATTGGACATGGATGGTACTAACTTGGGACCTGTTCGTAGCTCTGATAATCCCCATTCTAATCGACAGCTCTCTGGATGACTAATAGTCTCGGTGAACTGGGAAGGCATGGTTTATCGGGGATCACATACTATATCTCATTCCCTTGGACGATGTTGTTGTGACTCTATTCCATGTGTTTGTATCTTGTATATCGTTAGCAATCGTAGCCCAGAGCGGAACATGCAGCTGGATCTGCATTTGGCGATGAATCAAACTGGCCAGAACGCGTCATCAATGTAAGCTCAGGTACCTCCTGGCCATCCGCTGCAATCCTTTCTTTCAACGCGCTACTTCCTTCGGCGCAGAGTCTGGTTTGAACCGCTCAACTGGTTTGACTAGTATCGAGTGAGTTGCGCGACTTCAGTCAATTGCTCTCCATGACGATGAACGCAACTGATCCCAAAATACGCAGATACATACATATACATACAGATGAATAGGACGCTGGGAGCCTCACGATCCTGACTCCTCACTCACGCGCCCGGGAGTCACGTCCCCCACTGCTCCCGGTATCAACAATCACCTCTCCAGTTAGGCGCGACATCTGCAAAAACTCTCGGCATTGCTCCCGACATTCTGCGTCCGGCCGTCATCTCAGCTCTGCGCCAGAACCTCTGCTGTGCCAACAAGCCTCATACGGAAGACACAGCGCAGCGACGGGAGCAAACAGAGAAGCGTGTACGTGCGGGAAGCCTCGGGGGACGGCCGCTGGTGCGCAGGACAGGGCGAAGGGAGGTCGTGCTCGAATGCGTGACGGTTGTCCGAGTCATGTCATTTGCGCGCAGGACGCGCGATACACAGGAATTGCCGCGACCTCCAGGAGGACGGGCTGCAACTCGAGCTCCAGAGCCCCAGCAATTTTGAACATACCTAGTAGCTCCGCTCCAGTCATGCACACGTGACCGTGACAGAGCGTGGTTCGTCCCCTCCCCTTCTCTTCCCCATCCCCGTCGCGGCGGCACAGTCCATCGCAGCCGGCTCCCGCGTCTCTGTCTCTCTTTCATGACCTTCTGCACGATATGCCCCAGATGTCACTCTGCCTTGCATCACGATCATTTGCTATGGCAGTCGCTCGACCACGCCGGAACGGCCGCGTACACGAGTGAATGAGCGCCGAGGCTCGCGATCTTCGGAGGCTTGAGCAGCGAGGCCCAGGTAAGTGCGCTTGTCGTCTGTATAATCGATGCGGAGCTTATGCTTCCGGACAGTGCGCTCCCTATAGCACCGGCAATATTGTAAAAATTGTCATCGTCGTCCTTCAGCCCCACGCCAGCCGGTTCCTTTCGTACGTATCACCGCGTTATCGTCCTTCCGCGGTGACCCCTCGTCGTGTCCGATGCGAACGGTACCTCGGTTACTGACGGCGGATCGCAAATTGTGTCGCGCTTCAGAGCCCCAAGCCCCGCTGCGACCTCCGAAAGGCCTCAAGGCCAAGCTTCAAACTTTAACGTTTTGAATTTGAAGTCCTCACTTCGAGTCGGCGCCTCGTGAGTGTCATCGTGACCTCAACAGAAATTGTAGCACCGATGACGGTAAGTTAGATCCCGGGGCTTCCGGCGGGCGGTTCCGTCGGTGCGGCCCTTACGGCGACAAAGGCGCGCTGTTACGTTGAACTTTTGAACGTTTGAACGTTGACGTGCTATCAAGGATGAAAAAAGGCGCGTGCGTACGTTCCAGGAGTGATCATGACGACTAATCCCAGACTACTACCTACCACATAGCGGAGGCACGTCCAACTCCGAGTCGGTGTTGGTATTGCTTGGATGGTCCTCGTGCGAAGAGTGGCGTCGAGGACGGGCTAGATCTACACCAACGTTTGTGCCAGTGCGGCTACTACTCAGTTGAGGTAAGCGTCGACGGTGGTCGATCACGACAACATCTGGCCGCGTGCTTGCATGATATGCACCCTATGCTCAGTTCCTGAGGCCGGACACCGAGTCACTCACTCAGTACTATTGGAGCTAGCAAATTTTAGCAACGACTGGCCTATCAACACCCATTTACCATCCGGAACACGGCCTCTAGGCTTTCGGGGACCAATTGCGATAAGGTGTGGGTGAGCCGTGCTTGCTTCTGGCAGGTCTTCCCGGGTTTCCATTGGAGCGCAGATAGAGAGGGCTTCGCTGATGAGAATGGATGGACCCCACTAGTTACTTATGGCATTATGCGGCACAGCTGAGTCCGTGCTGGTAGACGCTTGTTCGTAGGTATGGTGCTCTGCCATGATCGTGCTTGTCATTGCCAATGGAGCTCACTGTCGCTTGACAGTTGAACCTAGTCGGGACCCGGCGATCATGCATCATGGACCAGTAGCAGCAGCTTGAAGATGGCTTGCCAATCGCGCATGATCTGCTTACCTCCACGTGTGAGCCCAATCAATATGCCGGTATATCATGGGCTCATTGTACATAAAGCCTGAGGACGCACCCTTTGGACGGATGCCAAGGCAGAATCCCTTGCTCATCCGCCCACTTTGCATCAGATCGACGACGACAACCACCACCATGTATGAACAAGAGATCGTCTACGCGTTGATTCTCGCCGCTCTGCTACTCCTTCTTGCGCGGAGGAGAATGAATCCGGTTGGTTCTAGTACGCCATCCGCTACTCCGCTCACCTGGTTCATAGCTCTACCGCATACCAGCTGTGGGGCCTTCCGCACCCATCCTATCCTATGGGGGGGCGTTGAAGTTCTCCGTTAATGCGCGGGAGATGCTGCAGGAAGGTTACACCAAGGTAAGCCAAACGCTGCTTCGAATATGTTATTTGCTTCGATCTGAGACCTTTCGTGATATAGTACAGAGGCTCTGTGTTCAGAGTGCCGCTAATGGATCGCTGGCTTGTAGTGGTCAGCGGTGCTGCCATGAACGAAGAACTCCGGAAATTGCCTGATGACCAGATGTCTTTTCTGGATGCTGCCGAAGATGTAGGCCTTCCAACGTTCACTCCGTCATGCGTATATGTATGCTGAAAATGCGTCGCGTATAGCTCTTACAGGCGAAGTACACGATCGCAAAGGACATCCTTAGAAATCCGATACACATCCCGGTCATCCGCGGACCTTTCACCCGCAACTTGGCTGCCTTCATGCCAGATGTCGCAGATGAGATTGCGTCAGCAGTCCAGGAGGCAGTTCCTGACGCAGGAGACGGTGCGTCCCGTCGGTCCTGATTTGTGGAGTCTACTCAGTGATCGTAAGTTCAGAGTGGGTCGGTGTCGTCGCATCCCCTGCCATGGCACGTGTCGTCTGTCGGGCGAGCAACCGGGTCTTCATTGGTCTTCCTATGTGTGAGCATAACACGGCACGATGACCCTCATGTCCTGATATACTGTCCCAGGCCGGAACCCAGAATTCCTAGAGATTGTCTTGAACTACACCAAAGATGTCGGCAAAAGCCGTTTCATCATGGCCCTCACGCCGATCCTATTCAAGCCGTAAGTCGTACCCTATACAACACAGCACCAACGTTTAGACCAACTATTTGGACAGCATCGTGGGCAGTTTACTGCCTTGGTCTAAGAATACTCTCAAGAAGATCGCCGTGCTAGTGGGACCTCTGGTCAACGAAACGTTCCGGCAATTCGAGGATCACGGGAAGAAATGGGAAGACAGACCTGTAAGTGCTTTGCGCAAGGGGATCGTATCCTTGACTGAGCGATCTGTCAACGCCGACCAAAGAAAAACCTGCTGACCTGGTTAACGGAAGAAGCCAAAGCTGCTGGCCACGGGCCCGAAGTCGTCATCTCCGCTCTGCTGTCGAGCAACTTCACCGCCATACACACATCGGCTATCGTACGTACGCCTCCACCTCCGCAGGACACCTGCTCATGTTTCTGACAGAGCGTAACACATGCCCTGTATCACATTGCTGCCTGCCCCGAGTTCGTCCCGCCGCTCCGCAAAGAGATCGAGGTGGCCGTCAACAAGTATGGCTGGGGTAAACAAGCCATCGGTGAGATGTGGAAACTGGACAGCTTCATGCGCGAGTCCCAGCGCGTCAACGGCACGAGCGGCGGTACGCTTCAATTAGCAGTCCCAGATCCGAATCGACGGTTGTCGCTGACTCGGATGGGTGTCTCACAGTGTCTGTCATGCGCAAGGCCCTCGTCGACCTCAGGCTGGCCGGCGGGACCGTGATACCTGCGGGCACACTGCTTTGTGCAGCCGCGGACGCGACGCACTGCGACGACGAGAACTACGAGGACGCTGGCGTGTTCAAACCGTTCCGCTTCTCCGACATGAGCGCGGAGGAGAGCGAGCGCATCAAGCACCAATTCGTCAGCACGTCGCCGGAGTACGTGCCCTTCGGTCACGGAAAGCATGCCTGGTACGTCGTCTATGCTTCCCAGGCGAAGGAGTTCTCGCTCAATGTGAAGCACAGCCCTGGTCGCTTCTTCGTGGGTAATGAACTGAAGATGATCATCGCATACCTTGTCCTCAACTACGATATGAAGTTTGAGGACGACGGGCCCCGCCCGCCGAACAAGTGGTTGTCGGTCACCGTTATCCCTGATCCGAGTGCTAAGGTTTACTTCCGCAAGAGACAAACGGGCAGCGTATAGAGCGCGTGGCCTCTCGCTCTCCGTTATATCAGCTAGCATGTCTCCTGTCGTGGCTATCCATGGTAGTGGTGATGTAGTACAGCATAACGGACAAGATACAAAACGAATGACACAGTACACGAAATGAACGACGTGAAACATGAGGTTCATAAATGTCCTAGCACAAGATCGTCAAGTAGAGCCTTCATGAGAAAAGGGCTCCGTCTTGTCACAGAGAGGAACACCGACTAAGCCTGCCGACCGGGTGAAACTGCACCAGCGGGAGTAGGCGCAAGTTCTTCGACTTGGTCGCATCGCGTCCTTGACGGATCTGCTCGACGTCAGACTGGGTTCTCAATTGAGCACGCGTTCATGAGTTGTCCATGTAGTACACTGCGCTCTTTTTCGCAAAGATGCCTTCGAGGCGGCCGATCGTCTCGTTTCGCACTGCGCGCACCGGGCATCAGTACCAAGTTTCGAATGACAGAAAATGATGATGTACACTGGATAGCCTGCTTCATCCTCGCGAACTCCTGTTCGCGGAACTTGAGGTGCACTGTCAAAGCTTCGATCACACCCACCCCACGAGTTAGCTCGGTCCCGGCGTGGAAGTGAGTATCGACGACTGCTCACTGGCGACCTTGCTCGCGCTGAGCTCCAGTTCTTCGAGGAGCGACTTGACCTGAGCGCCAGTGTCGGTGACACGCCACATCAGCTCCGCGTTGAACGTTGAACGTTGAACGTTTGAACGTTGAGGGCCTGCGATCGTCAAGTTGCCATGTACACTAGTTGCGCGTTGCACGCAACGGCTCTCCCCGTGGATCCGACTTTCTGTGTGTTCTGCACAGCCGGCGCTTCGTCACGTGTGGGCAACTGCGCGCCGCACGCAATAGGGCGGAGAGACCATGTAGGTCCAGGATACGTCCTATGTTGGACAAGGTAACGGGGAGAGGAGTAGGGTGAGCTGTGATACAGCTGCAAAGCCAGGGTGTGCAGGAGGATCGTAATCTATGACTGTGCCGTGATTCGGCGGCCGGGTATCCTGTTTATGCGCCCGCATCGATCTTGTTTCCCACCGCCATCCACACACACCCACAACACTCGCGACTCAGTGCGCAGCACCTCACACAGGCCGCAGGAGTGTCTCACAGGCCTTACAGGGCTAGCAGTCCTCCCATCATCGACATGGCAATCGTCGCCCATCCGTTCAAGCGCGACCCTCCACCAGTGCACACCATCGACCGTCCCTCCTGAACCTGAGGACGACTTTCCCTACTCATATGTCCTTCCTATTTCTTCTGTTACTGCGCCGCATCTTCCGTACGAAGGACTGTCAGCTTGATGATGTGACCGCCGTGTCGCGCTCTCGTCGACAGCAACGGCCAGGAGGCTCGTTGTGAACGTTGCAGGGCTGGCGAGGAAGCGTTAGTGTGCAGGGTGGTATAGCAGCAGTGTTGACAGTAAGTGAGTCGAGACCATTAATACAGCCAACTCACAGCTGGGAGGTTGACCGTATCATCATTGACGGGCGGGTTGAGTCGCAATCGCAGGCGAGGGCGTGAGGGCGGCTGACACTGACAGCCCCGGGCCCCTAATACTAAGATGCCTGACCGGTGCTGTCTCTCTTTGTCCCTCGCTCTCATTCTCGCTCTCTATTGGCTCGCTTTGCTTAGGTTCGTTTACACCTATCCTTTGCTTTTCCTTGCTCTGCTCTACCGCTGCGCCGCAATGTCCGCTTTCGCCATCACCCTCGACTACGTCGGTCTGAACGCCGCGTACCTCAAGACCCACAAGGAGCGCTCCGGCGACTTCCAATGCGTGTTCGTGTACGACAACGTCGCGTCCCTGCAGCTTCCGCGCCCGGACACAGTGTATCTGCTGGACTGGGAGCAGGGGAAGGTGATGTGCTATTGGAAGATGAGCGGGCCCGACGGGGTATGCTTCACATCGCTCGCACTGGCACGCTCGTATGACTAAACCGGACGCTTGTAAGGCTCTGTACGCCGAGTCTGTACGGCGGAAGGTCGAATCCGTGCGCAAGGACGCCGTGCTCCTGGCGTCGCTGGACATGTGAGTGCTCCGCCGTCACGCCCAGAACACCTTCGCCTCCATCCATCACCTTCCTCCCCATCCTCCGCATCCCACCCTCTACATACACACCTCTCCTTCCTCGATCTACCGGATGTACGACTAACGCTTGGGCCCCAGCTCGCGCATCCACGACGCCCCAACGCACCCGTAAGCAGCCTCGCCTTCTCCACTCCAACCTCCCGTCTGAACCCACCACTAGCCTGCCGCGATACCGCATCGCCGGTGTCCCAAACCACATCTCCGCGTCGCGCAAGCGGCGTCGGGCCCTGCAGCCGGTCCAGGAGCCCCAGCCCAAGAAGGCCAGGACCGCTCATCCCGAGGACCCCAATAATGAACCGCGGGACGAGAATTCCGCTGGGGCGGCCGCCACAACCGCCGTCGGGCAGGGTTCTCACGCGATGGCTCCCGCTAGCAGGGCTCCTCTGGCTCCTGTCGCGAATCAGAACGCGCCTGCCCCTGGCAAGTCTGCTCAGTCTGTGCGACTTGGTACCTCGGCTGGCCCCGCTGCGCGTCCGACGGAGTTTGGGTTTATTTCTGGCGGCTGTGGAACGACTGTCGCGACTGGCATGGCAGCTCCGGGTATCATCGTCAAGGCCGAGGCACAGGACGACCGAGCCATACTAAACGTGTCCTTCAATACTACCCCGGACGGCGCCGATATGAAGGTCAAGGCCGAACCGAAAGTCGAGCTCGCCCTGCAGCGCGGTGCCGAGGACAAGATGGAGGCTCTGCGCCGCGAGATATTGAAGACGTACGACTCCGACGTGCAGTCCCTCGCAGACAACGCTCGTGAGCGCCCCTTGACCCTTCTCCGACATCAGGCTGATCTAACTCGCGTGCGGTAGGCCTCCGCGAGGCGATCGCGCAGATCCAGAAGCGCGTTGACCGTCTGCGCGCGGGAGGGGACCGCCGCGCCGAGCAGTCTAGGCGGTCGTGGCAGGAGTTCCAGGTGAAGCTGGGCAGGGGGCGGCGGGGGTAGGGTCCGATCCTGGGTCGATGTTCTTGTGCGAACGTCGGTGTGCTGGGGTTGTTTGGTTGTTGTTTGTGGTGCGGCGTGTAGTGATGATGGATCTGCGTTATCCTGCCTGGAGAGCATTGCTTGACGCGTGATGTGGGCCCGGCTGGTACTCGGTGGTGAGGCGGAGCAGTGAGGTGTCAGAGTCGGAGTCGGTCTCGACGAGGGGCATCCCGGTTCCGATGCAAGTCGTCAGCTGCAGAGTATGCTAGCGAAAGAAGGGCATGCAGATTCATCGGTGCTGTCGAGGGCCGTGAGGCGCTATGACTTCATGCATGCGCGCGCGCAGTACTCGTGTCGTCGGACTCGGGCATTCCAGCGCGTCGAAGTGAGCACATGGAGAGGGCCGGCCGCATCGCAGCGCGACCGACACTGAGGAGCAGTTGCTTCAACTCCCCGGCGGTCCGACGGCGCAGTGCTATGACTTGTTCGGGGTGCCAGATGGAGCCTCCTATGATCCACGCTGCGCTTGCTCAGGCAGACACGCGTCGCCGAGAGATGGAGCATCTCAGCAGAGAAGTGGCGCAGAGCGGTGGCGGACTCGGACGCAGAATGTCGGGAGCAATGCCGGGAGATCGATTCCCCTCTCGATAGATCCGCGGCGCCATCTGGAGATAGCCACCGCGATGCCATCAGCCGTCCGTTGACTGCGAACTTGAACCAGGTCGCGTTCCTGCTGCTGCACCGTGCGACGCGAACTCCCCTGAAGTCCCTCCTCTGCGTATCGCACAACGTCTGCCTGCCAGTCACCAAGCAAACCGCCACGTGACGCTCAGCCTGCTGGACGAAATGCAAGACGGGGTGGGGGACGTGGCTGACTGACCTCAGTAATCATAGCACAGTGACTAGTATTGACTACTTACTTATGCGTGCAGGAGGGAACGACCCAGGATCTTCCCGAGTGGTCCATGTGGCACACGCGCCGGCCTGTCGCGCAGGGTTGACGCGTGTTCCATGTGCGTCATGCGGGGCCTGGACCACCGTCTCACTTTTTGACAGCGCAACCTGGCCATTCTCCGAGTCGTTGTCAGTGGTCGCGGCATCGTCCCCGTACTTGCGCTGTGATACTCCGCCGACGTCAGCGGGCCCAGCTGTTCCCCTGCATATGCACGACGCTATCGTGCGACGCGGCCGCGGCACGTTTGATGGATGTTCGTTTCGCAAACTGGCCGTTGTTTATGTGCTTATTGCACACCTTCTATCTCCCTTTGGTACGTGGCTACAGGTAGATCCCGACGTGCTGGGAAAGACTAACCACTGCCTCCTACCAGTCACCGACCTGCGCTAAGGAGTGCGTCGTACCAACGACTCGGACAGCCGACACCCAGTGAGCCCCAGCAGGACCAGCCTGCTATGCCAAGCACATGGCGGACAGCGTCGGTGAGTGGGGGGAGTACTCCTCCACTTCGTGTACGATGTTCAGCGGCCATCCTGGACTCTTGTTGTTCGTGCCCCTCCCGATACGTGCGAAGGCCGCATTCGTCGTTGCTCCGGATCTACGTCGATGTAGGATGGCGCGTTCATCATTCCCCCATTGTGTACACTGGTCGCGCTCAGAAATATTCTCATTGGCATTCCTTCTATGTTCCTTCGGTACACAACTAGCACTCAAGTGATGAAAAATCCACCGCCTCCGAGTCGGCGACCTGCGGTTGACTGGTCGGCGGAGGCTGACAGTCACCGCGACCCTCGTTATAAGTACCTTCGCACCGTCTCCCTCCTCTGCCTCACAGCCTATATTCTTCGTTCGCCTCGTCGCCCCCCTACACTCGTTTTCCATCCACAGGATGCCGCCCAAGACGCCCTCACTCTCGGTGCACATCTCCTACCGACTCGACGGCAGCAAGGTCGCCTACATGCGCAGCCGCGAGCACGACGTCTGCGAGTACTACCCTGAATTTCTCGAACGCGACCTTCTGTACCTCCAGCTCCCCTCAAAGTGGATGTACGACACGACGCTGCAGAGCCTGCCCGAGGGGAAGATCCAGTGCAGGTGGTTCGCGGGCATCGTGGACGACGACTTAGAGGTGCGTTACACTTTTTCGAAGTCCTTCTCTCACTGAAGCGTGTCCCCCAGTCTGGACTGCTCGAACAGATCGCCGGGCAGGTCGAGTTTCTCAACAACCCGGGTGCAGCTCAGCTGCTCAAACTCCTAGAGATGTGAGTGCCGTGCCGCTATTCCAAATGTGAGAAGCACTGACCGAGCGAGCGCTTTCGATTGGCAGTTCAAAGATCGAGCTCGCTCAGCCGTAAGTGGTCGTTCACACTACCCACTTACCATCTTCTGCTGGATCGTGCGGCGTGCCGACTTCCGCCCGCATGCATGTGTGTATGCGGTCGCGTCCTTCGTCTGGCCTGACACAGGCTCTTTCCGGAGTCTATGGCGCCGCCGTCATACACCGCTACCATCCCGTCAATATCCGCGTTGTGTCCCTGCTCACCGATCTGCTCCACGTAGGACCCCAGCTACGCAAAGCCCAGCCGTCCAATGGTCCGAGATACCGCACCGATCGCCTTCCGTCGCTCAAGCCAGGCCTTCAGCAGCTCCCGAACCGACCACAGGGGAGAAGCAAGGAGTGCATGGTACCAATTACTCGGGCGGCCAACACCAGATCAGCCAGAGTGTGCGCCTAGAGATGTGGGTGCCGTGCTGCTATTCCCAACACGAGAAATACTGACCCAGCGCGTTCGATTGGCAGTTCCAAGATCGAGCTCGCGCGGCCGTAAGTGGTCTTATCCTCGTTCCAAACTTCTCCACACGAATTCGTGCTTCACGCCTACCGAACGGTCTATCCTTCCACCGGTTCAGTTGCCATCCCATGCTGGATCGTGCCAAGTTAGGTCCGCATGCATGCATGTGTCCTTCGCCCAGTCTGGCACTAGATATCGGGCGGGCTGTCTCCGTTGAACACCTGCTCACCGATTCGCTCCATGTAGGACCCCAGCCACGCAAAGCCCCGTCGTCCAACCATCCGACTTACCACATCAGCCACGTTCCGAGCCTCAGACCAGCGCGCCAGTAGCTGCAGAAACCGCCGCCCGAGCGGAACAGGAGACGCATGCCGGGGACGACGGCCAGCGCGCGCCCGCAGCGCCTACCGACCCGAAGGTCGCCGAGCTCGAGGACCTCCTCGCACAACACAAGGCCTGCTACGCCAAGCACAGCACGGAGAACGCCGGTGAGTGGGAGGGAGCGCGTCTGCATTCCGAGCACGATACTCACCCGGACTCGTATTATCCGCGCCCTCCGATACCCGCGAACGTTGCCGTCGACGCAGAACTGAACGATGCGTGTCGGCGTCTGGAGGAGGAGGAACGGCGGGCACGCGAGGAGAGGGCGCGTAAACGTGAGTGGCCAATCGTGCGATGTCGGTGACCACTCATGCGGTGTCCGTGCAGGCTTGCGTGGCGGTGCAAGCGGGGCCCGTGGTGGAGGTCGTGGAAGCGGAAGGGATGTGCGGCAGAGGGTGCTGTGATGCGCGGGAGGAGAGGGGTCCGAGCCCGGGGTCGTGCAGTGGGCGGATCCGCTTTGAGTCGTGAATCGGAGCTCTGTACCTGCGTTGGTTTGAGAGACGGAACAGTGCGCACGATGAATGGATGCTGAGTGAAGAGGCTCTTCTCGCTCTCGGTGTGCAAACCGAGTGACAATCTCAGTGCACAGCAGTGATCCATGGTTCAACGTTCAGGTCCCGGGCGTTGTCCACATGTGCCACGGAATACGGGTTCCTGTGCAAGACAGTGCGTGGTCGGAAGGTCGTCCGAAACTGACGAGGCTGTAGGTACAGACCATCCATGCGACGTGCCTTCGAACCCAACCGACTCTGTCCTCAGTTCCCGACGAGGTCGGTCGACGCGGCTCACACAGCCTCGGCTGTGCGAGAAAAACTCGACATTCCGAGCTGGAGAAGCAACTACGTTGCTGCGGCGAACGGGGAGACCATAAATCTATAATGACAATGATAGAAATGTGTTCTGTGTGACAGCCAGTGGTACAAAACAAATGTCGCTGATACATCAATATAGGCTCACAGACGTATCCAATCATCCTACACCGAAGCCAGCTGGGATGGGCTCGCCTTACGGGCGCGCAATGGACGCAGTTACAGAATCCAAATCTCTGACAAGGCGGTCGTACCGCACCTGCAGCTCTGCACGACGTCAGCACCGCTCGTGCCCATCAACACGAGTGACCTACCTTCATGTACCGTCGTCACGTCCGACAGCGTGCTCTGCAGCTCCCGGATCGCTTCGTTATGCGCTGTGAACGCTGCCCTCAGCATGCGACGACCCAAAGCAGACGAGCGACGACGTACACTGGACCACCTGGTCCAGTCGCTCCTGCTCCTTGGCCCTCACGGAAACCTCCACCACTGCGCGCCCAAAGTCAGTGTCTGACGCACAGGCGAAAGCGGTAGCCACTCACGGATGACATCAACCTCCAAGTCGCTCTTGTCCTTCTTGCATGCCTCCAGCTGTTCCTGGAGCGAAGCGATCTGCACCGCATTATTGTGGCAGCGGGACACTAGCCTCGTTGTCGCGTCTTGGAGTTCGCGCCCATTCTCGGCAGTATGAGTCGTCACAGGTACGTTGGATGGGACCGGGTCATCGGAGGCACCAGATACAGAGGCCGTCGTTCCGCCGAGTGCCAGAGACCCCGAGGCTCCAGGGAGACCAGCCGAAGAGACACCAGGACCAGGAGCTAAGTTGGTCGCAGCACGGGTAGATGCGAGATGAGTACCAGATGACGAAGCGGCCGGCGCAGAGGGACCCAGAGCCCGTACAGCTGTGCTGGCGCCAGCAGGATTATCCGTAGATTTGGTCCGCTCTTCGTGACCCGACGCAGCAGGAGCGTTCTTGAAGCCACGCCCGGGACGGCAGGGCTCTGGTCTTCCGGAATAGAGCCAGCCCCTCCCGGAGACTCGGCCTGCTTGGTAGCCGATTGTGACGAGGCCTGGCTGGTCCGGCGTTCTGGTGTAGGTCGATTCTCAGCGGAAGTTGTCGAGGAACTCACGTCCAAGGTCAACAACGAAAAAGGTACATGTCACCGTTTACCTGGGACATCCGAGCGTTTGTCTGCCCCCTCCCAAATGCGCATTTGAGAGGGCGCAACCAAATTCGGGCTGGGTTCCGGGGCTGGCACATCAAGGGACCTTGCGTATCCCCAGGTTACAAGATCAATAGACATCCTCTTAGGCATGCCACCGGTGGACATTACGCGCGCTCTCGCGTTGTACACAGCTGGCGGTCAGTCACCGTGACGTGCAGCCGACCGTATGTGCCACGAAGCGACGTGACACTCTGCGAAGACGGGATTCGGCGTTGGTTCCAGGATCGGAAGATGACTGATGCGACGCTCCAGACAGTCAGATGGCGGTGATTGGCGTAGCTGGTATCCTACGGGAAGCGAATCGGTGAGTAGGGACCCAACGCAGATATCAATGGAACGGTAACGACCTATTGTAGCGCCGCTGTGGACTTGTTAACGTGACGCGCATAGTGGGTAGAAGCCGAAGCTGCTGCTCAGGATTTCTACGTTAGTGAGTTCAACCAATGTGAGTGGCCACAAACCATAAGTGACGTGTTCCCGGCGGACAACTGAGGAGCTGTGTTTCGCCTGTGAGCTGACTCACTGTCAGCCTCGACAACGGTAGCCACAGCTTACCATCGGAGTTTCATGCCTTGCATCTTGTGGGCGTGTGTGTACTAGCGGAAACAAGATCGATGCACGGTGGGTGGGTAAGTACTTACGCGGTCGGTTATCATGCATTCTCACGACAACGATCTTCTCGAACTCGCCCTCCGACACTCCCCAGGCTACTGCTTCAAGCAGCAGTCCTTGTCCTCGGCTGTAAGTCATCGCGCAGCGGTCGTCCACTGCTCGGTGTGTTCCTTGCGTAAAATCCTTTGGCGTCGAGTACGATTCAATTGCACGTGATCGGTAGCCAGCCTCACAGAACACAAGAACGCGCACCACGTCTACCGGCAACTGCCCTTCACAGTATCGAATCCGGAAATCCACAGGCGTAGCGACAAGTATCCGTCTCGGAATTCAGCCTGGGTCTGGTTGCGCCCTCTCAAATGCGCCTTTGGGAGGGGGCAGACAAGCGCCAGTGTCTGCGGTGCCGTTTGGATGTGTACATTTTTGTTTGTTGATCGTCCATCCTGGATGTTCGAATCCTAGGTATATTCGAGTGCTGTACACGTGCGCATGCGTCTTAGGCCATATGCTGAGTTGCAGTCGTGAGAGGAGAATTATGTCTGAATCAGGCAGTCCGAAGTACGTCGTCCCTATCCTCCCGTGGATTGATCGCGCGCTGAGGCCTGAGGCCTGAGCGCTGCGCACTTGACGTCGCCTGCAATTCGAACATTCAGAATGAACGGCCAAAAAGTTACACATCACCGTTACCGCAGACTCTGGTGCTTGTCTGCCCCCTCCCAAAGGCGCATTTGAGAAGGCGCAACCAAACCCAGGCTGAGTCCCGAGACCGGGCGATTCGTGCGCACAGACCTACCCATGTACGCGAGCTTGACACTGAAATGAGCAGTTTCCAGTGGATGTGACGCACGTTCTGGCGTTCCCTATGGCGGGCGGCTAATCACGTGCAGCTATGTCGCGCACCCCACCGAGGCAGTTGTCCACCGGTTGTCCAGGGAAACCGCGTAAACCAAGACGGCTGTTGGTCGACGAGCCATGGCCAAGGACATGCATGACTCCTGGGGGCGCTAAACGGTCTGAAGAGGGCGAGAGTCCAAAAAGACCGTGGTCTGTGAGAATGCGCGATAACCGGCCGGGTACCCGCCAATTGATCCCGCCTTCCGCGGACCACCACATATGCACCCATAGGATGAAGCAGATTGATACGGCGTCAAGCTATGAGATTTGAATCGTATCCCAGATTGTTGACGGCTATTCGGCAAGTCCACGGGCAAGAACGACTTATTTCAAAAGATCAGCGAACGGGACAACCGCAGGCGCGGTCCACAACACAGTACGCGAGCTAGTAACATAGCTCCTCGGTCGTCCGCACGAAAGCCGCCCATTGTTGTGTGATTCGCCCTCGGGCGACGTCATCCTTCCTCAAGATGCGGCGCAGACCTGCGAATGCATCCGACGTCGGTAAACCACGCTAGCACGCAAAGCGGCGATGAGAGTACTCACGAACATTTTCTTCATTCGCTAGATGCTCATCGCACCACAACTCAGCGCATTCCGTGCGCAGGGCTATCCACGACCGCGGAGTGAGTGTGTTAATTCAGCTCGCCGCGTCAAGGACAAGTAGATCACACCTTCTTTCTCTTTTTGGCGCACGTTCTCGCTGGCTTGGCGGACCGTAAGCAAATGATGGAGGCGGAGCACCGTCTCCGTCTCGGGCAGCGGTGGTGCAGGGAGGACGTCATGTATGCTAGGAGTTGGTTTGACGTCGCCTATCATGTTGGACGGTTGAAACGGCGGCGGCGTCGCATGTACGCTAGTCGAGCAGTGGATACCTTTGATTTGTAGCACGACTGAGCGACTTACGGAGGTGTAACTTCGACGTGGGCTCTGCAGAGTAAGCAAACGTGAGTCGGTTGTATGCGCAGCATGGCAGGGCACGTACATCTCGAGGAGCTCCAACAGCCTCGCAGCCTCGGGCTTCAAAATGAACTCGACGCGTGAACGCACGGTCTCGTATAGATCCTGCCAACCGGGGTAAGACAAGCCGGCCCGTGGTTGTCGCTCAAGAGCAGCGAATAGATGACACACCGGTATATCCGCCCTGTAACTGCACACCAGCCAACCGTCCTGCCTGCTCTCCACTGTCATAGCATGCGGCTCGGGCAGCCGCATGTACCAGAGGTCCCGCCGGAGGAACTTGTCTCGATAGTCGCGGTCCTGGGGAGTGGGGCGTCTGAGGTACGCACTCTTGGAGCCGCCGGCACGGTAGTGGATGTTGACCGTGAACATGATTGGTCGAGGGAGTGCCTTGAAGAAAGAAGTGTGGACGGCGGTTGAAAGGCGATAGAAGCACGCGATGGGAATGCACTGGGTCAGTGTCATTCCAGAACTGACTGCCATTGTCAGCCGCTGTTGCCAGCCTCTAAAGTCAACCTTGGGTGAGTGACCCCGTAGCCCACGCTTCCGGGGCGCTGAGATCTTGAAAAAGAACGTCAGTGAAAAAGAGCTTGCATCCAAATGAAGGCCGTTCAAATGTTCATCGGTAAACATAGTCGGACCATGTCCGAGGTCCTGAGTGAAGCAAAGCTAGATTTGTATGCCGTGCGCGGGGATAGCCCAAGACATCGAGCAGGGTACAGTAACATGATGGGATCCAAAACAGATACAACCGTGCTATAACCACAAGATACGGTATTACTGCTTACCGACGAGGTCGTTCGCGAGCGCAAAAAGTCAGCTTAGCCAAAGCTCCCCAGTGCACCATCTTGTCCTTGCCGTTGCGCTTGAATCTCCGGTGCTATACGTGTAAGCATGGTTAGTGCCGTCTTGAACGTATTCCTTGGAGGCCCGGGGCTGGGCGCGGGTACAAGGGTCTGCAATCGGTACAGATGTCAGCCGTCGACATCCAACGCAGTCTTGCATTTCCTCCGCCTAGAGGTGCATCACGTGTAGGCTTGCGCAGCAGATAAGTTGGCTCCTCACAGGCAAGAGGATGAGCAGGAACGAACTGGAGGAGATGTGTCGCTTCAAATCTGGTCTGAGGAGGAGGAGGCACTGGCATGATACTGCTAGCGCTTTAGGTCACGCAGCCAGCTTGGAGGTCACGAACAGACGCCAGCGTGACTTGATCTCGGCGCAGTGGGCCGAGTTAGTGAATTCCAACTGAATTCGACCCTTTCGTTAGACTCACGTCGTCGCCTATCGTGCACTCATTGTCAATGAGTAGATACAGAGTTTTCTGTACGTCAGAACTCATAGGATCGTGCGACGGAGTACTGTGAGTCGCCCTACATCTCGGTGTATAATTCAACTTGGTTCTGACACTGATCACGATTTACCGTGAAGATACTAGGGCAGCGCGCCGGCGACGACACTGGCATGCTTGATGATCCTTACATGCATGAGTGAATAACGTGAGCTTCATGGATGGGATTCTCACCTGCTTGTCTTATAGACGACTTGATTGGTCGTTGCTAGGTACTAGTAGGGTTTTGACAGCGTTCACTTCGAGGGACGCGTCCGAGTCAAACTATTCGCGGCGGATTCCATTCGTGATACTAGAGGATATGTCCGCTATCACGTCGGTAAGCAGCTCCATTGTGTCTGCTTGGCGCTCTTCATCGGAGAGTACCTGTTAGACATAACGGAGAAATTGATCCATCCTTACTGCCGTCGGTGGGCTAGCATCTTGGGGGTGGGTTTTCCGACTTTGCAGCGGCATTCATGTTCCTCACTGAGCGCTCATTTCATCTATGACTACCTATTCAGCTGTCTTAGATGGTTCCCTAGTGATCGACTGCGTGGACAGTCAGGTTCGCAACCAACGTGTGGTCCTTCCCGGCAGCGGTTGGCTGTAAAGAGCCGCATCACGATGGACCCGATTGGAATGTCAGCCTCCCCGCATCTCTTTTCTCACGTCGCGTTGCACACGCATTTTGGACCCGTCCACCTCTTGCGCTCTCCTCTGCAAATACAGTCGCTTCTCCTTCCGCAACCAGGATGCCCGCGCTCGCGATCACAATCGACTACTTTGGCCTCAAGGCGGAATACATGAAGATCCACAGGGAACAAGCTGGCGACTTCCTCGAGACGATCCTTGCTGAGGATCTCACCACGCTTGACTTCTCGCCTCCGAGAGAGGTCTGGCTTGTCAACTGGGAACACGCTCGAGTGATGTGCTACTGGAAGTCGAAGGGTGACGATGGGGTAGGTTCATTTGACCTTCTGCGCAATCGAGCAGATTGGCGACTGACATTATGAACCACTAGTTACGGGCCATCAAGCATCTACGGGCTAGGACACAAGCAGTGCGCAAGGATCCCGCACTCCTTCAAGCTCTGAACATGTGAGTACTTTTCGATCGTCATGGCAGAACGCGTAGGTCCCGATGAGCAGAGAACTATGTTTCTGTTCCATTTTGGCTGTCCCATAGCACTAGTGGCTTTGAGGCTGACCATATTGTGTATGCCCTGTTGGATTTGGCTACGGCGTGAAGCTATGGATCTATTCTCGCGCATTTCTTACGCGTACTGCGTAAGAAGTCTCAAAATGAGGCGCCCTGTTCAACATCATACTCAACAATGCTTGCTACACAGCGCGCGACTTCAAGTGGTATTGCACGCAAGGTAAATCAGTCTACCCATCAGAATCCTGCCAGCAGTACTGACGTGCATCTGATGACTCAGCCTACCTGCGTCTCGTGTACCTCGGACTCCTGACGCCGATGCTACTGCCTCGAAGTCAGCTGGGCCTCTCGTCAGAGGACTGTCTACCGCCAATCCAGGACGTCCTACAGATGTGCAGGCCGCGCGCAACAAAGCCCTGGCTGACAAGACATCTACCCTCAATGTCCCTGCGCCTGGCACTGGCTCCCTGAATATGATGGCAGGAAGGCCCGTCAAAGTCGAAGTCGATGCTGCGACTGCCTTCCACGGCATCTCTGCGGAGCTCGGGCACACTGAGGCAGACTCTGTGGATGCCGGAAGTATCCGCCGTGCATTCCAACCCACCACGCAGTCGCCCGTGCCGGTCAAGACCGAGCAAATGGAGGAAGAGGTTGTATTGCAACAATTCACGGGGACTCTCGCTGGGTACAACAGCACACAGCCGGAGCATGCCATTCACAAGGTCGAACCATCCCATCGCGGTGAATTGGAGGACACAGCGGAAGCGAACCTGCAACGGGAGATCAGGAAGTCCGAACTAGGCGAGCTGCAGCTCGTCAAAGATTGTACACGTACGTCATGAACATTCCTTGTTTTCCCCGAGTTGACAAAGGCTGCTCGAAGACTGGCTCCGTGGGATCAACGACACGCGTGACCGCTTGCGTTGCTTCAGGGAGGAGAATAGCCGTACGCCCCTCTCTTTCTGCTGCATTCGAAACGATAAACTGATATGATGCTGTCCAAGGCTTCCGCGCGATACATGCGAGCAATATTGCAGATGAAACGCGGATGCTGCATAGTATCCGCGCTGTTGAGCGGGATCTGGGTCTTTTGCGGCGGTAGACATCGCAGCCCAAATAGGAGAGGTTTCGGTGCTGTCGACATCGTATCTTCTTGTACCCTAGACTACGACGCCTCCGATCTTCAGATCTAAATTGTTCATTGATCGCTCGGAACAACTCTGTGTGAGCGTATTGAATAATACATTCGTGGTTCACATTGCTATATTCGATGATACATAATGACTGATGCGACACAAGGATTGTAGTGCAATATAGATGGTCTGTGAAAATAGTCTGTGAAGAGGTCGTGGAGCCGTCCAAGTTGAGGATGACAGTCGTAGTCGTGCCTGACTGCACTAACTTGAAGCCTGAGAGGCGGGTGCATCGTGTTCGCCGGCAGAAGCGGGTCCTTCGACCGAGCCATGAAGTTGCCGTGTTCGCAGATCTTCCAGATATCAGTGCAGGTTCAACAGCATCTCTGCATCGACGACCTACATCTACACTCCGCTGTTATACTGTCCAGCGATGTCTGGAGATGCCCAATCTTCTCGTTGCATGCTGATTTTCAGTGATCAGGATTGTTACGAAGCTTTCGGGCTAGGCAGACAGCTACATACCATCAAGATTCTCCGTCAAGCTCGTAATCTCCTGGTCATGTACCTGGATGCATAGGTCTAGCCCTTAAAATTGACCATGTCAATCTCCGGACTCAGCTATGCCCTTGCACGGAGTGAATGCTCATGACTGCTCACCTCTGACCTTGCTCACAGTGCCCCTTTTCTCCGCCAGAAGCGCGATGATCTGTATGGAGTTGTCATTGACACGATTCACGAGGGCGGTGTTCAAGTCTTGCAAGCGTTGGTCGTCCGAGTCCTCGGCACTTCCTGTTGCGGTGTTGCTTGAAGGCAGAATCGCTGGCACGCCACTGACCAAGTCTTCGGAGTCAATGAGCAAAGGGGCAGATAGAGTGCTGAAGGCCAAAGCAGCGGAGACGTCAGACAGTTGAGATCCCATATACGAGACATCAGAGTCGTTGTCGGGAGCCTGAGGCGAGGCTGAAGCAGGAACAATGGCGTTGGCAGAATGAGATTTGGCAGATGGCAGGCCGCCGGCTGCCGTGGCTGAGCGATCCCCAGGCTGGCCAGTCGAAGACATAGCATCATCAGTTGCGAGACCAAGGTGATTCAGATGCCTAGAAGCTACAGAGCGAGAGATAGAACCGCCCGAGGGAGGGTTGATGTTATCGCCCTCGTAGACAACAGAGAGGCTGCCTCCCGTGATCGATTCCGCGCGGCCAAGACTGCCAGACTGTAGAGATCGAGCTCGCCGATGGGATGAACCCGAAAAGAAGTCCTCGGACCTGACGGTGGTGTGGGTGATCGCAGTGACGGCGGATGCCCGTGAGACCCAGTTTTGCAGTTTCCCGTCGATGTAGCCGCTGACGCGACGTCGTTTCAGTTCGGCAGGTAGCGTATCAGCCGAGGTGGAAAGTGCCCTCTTGTGGGACGTAGGGAGTGCGTCCGCGGCGCCGGAGGAGTCATATTCAGTACGTGAGTTCGACGGCGAGATGAGCCATCTGTTACTGTGCGACGTAATGGCAAAGATGTCACTTGTATCCGAAGGTCAAAACATGAGCGGCTTACGGACTCAACACCTTGATCTCCGCGCTGACAGAATAGTGACAATCTCCTGTCAGTCGACGCAGTATGACTTATTGATTTACGTACATCTGATGCTTCCGGTAAGAACCGAGTGTTATGATGTCCTGCACTTTCTTCCGTGCATTGGCGACCACATCCTCCTAAGCTAGGGATTAATGGGCGTAGTGACATGGATGAGGGACTCACCCCTAGTTGCAAATCCCAGCAGCACAACACCGCCCCGCTCTGCCAACTTTGGAGGATCGTGTACGAGGGTGCCGGAATACCCAGCTGTTTGAAGTCTTGATACATAAAGTGGGAGTAGTATGCGCAAGTTTCCTCCTTGTTCTTTATAAACGAATTCATCTTGTGTCCGCCTTGAGTAGTATCGTAATAGACCGTGGCTGCGAACGGTAAGAATGATCTCGAGCGAGCAGACATTCCTATCCAAAGCCACGTTGGAATCACAGATAGGGATTACTTCGAGAATAAGGTAAGCGGAGAAATCACGACAGGCTGCACCGGTGCAGCTGGAGTAGAAGTTCGGGTAGAAACTAGGAGGAGAGGGTAGGAGGAGAGAAGTTGAACCACGGCAGCAGCGTTACGATGGCGTCACGCGGAAATTGATGTGTCCGTGACCAACCGTAACCTCCTCCTCAGTTGCCCGCCCAACTGAGGACTCAGAGTCGGCTCGATATCGCTTGCAGAAATATGAAAAAAGAGGGTTACTCCGTCTGCGAAGCACCGAGGCTGCATACAAAGCTAGCGTGAAATGCAGTTGCCGAGCAAACCGTTAATAGTATGGGCAACCGCGTACATCCCAGAGAGCCTTCAGCGCTCGAGTAGTACAAAGCAAATATGGAACTTGGTCCACTCTTTGCCAGCGAGGTGCGAATCTATGCTTTGTATGAGCCAGTGAGCCGCAGTGAGCAAGTCATCTCAAGCTCAGCTCAAGACCTAGCCTGAGTTTAGTTTTGGCATCACGAGGTGAGGGGGAGCAGGCAATGTGTCGTGTAGTATATGACGGTACCATCATCGTGATTCGTTATGATGCCCAACTTCAAGTGTCAAAAACGAATCGCGTCACCGTATACCGTGGAATCCGGTGCTTGCCTGCGCCCTCCGAACCCGCGGTGTTGAGAAGGCGCAATCAAACCCGGGCCAGGTGCCGGGACTGGATACTCGTAAAGATCAAACACATTTGCACGAGATCTACCTCCGTAGTCTTTGACAGTGGAAACCACGCGCGATGTTGCATTTCGTGGGGCCAAGGGTAGATCACGTGGCATCAACTCTACGCACATCGGACACATCGCGAGGCGCGTGTAGCAACGACGAACATGGCAAGTACTGCTGTAGGGATGAGGAGGTGAAGGGGTGAATTGATGGCCATGGACAGGGCAATATACTGCTTAACTTGCCTGATCGTATGTAATCTTTATGAGCAGCGTGCCAGCGTCTACACGCACCGTAAGATTCGACTCCGATTTGATTGCGTCCGAGTATGTTCGTAAAGAAGTCGCCAACAACTGGTGCATCGGGGTTCACGTGCCTACGCGGTCTCTTTGCCGGGCCCTTGTTATCGCATTAATCGGTCTCAGCGTAAAGCCGGCGCGGAATATGCAGTCGGCGAGTCAACATAGAATATTGTGTCATACAGCATTGTCACGTACATCTCGACAATGAACGCCCACCGAGTGGTAGATTGTCAACAAAGTATCCACAAATCTCACTTCGCTCTTTCAAAGGTCAGTCCGATGTCTGTGTATGCTGCGTAATAACAGCGAGCCGCAGCCATGAACTTCGCTGCCAATATGGTTCTCAAACTGACCTAGTCATAAAAAACGCACCGGATCATCGAACACCGCAGGATCCGCTGCTTGTCTGCGCCCTCCAAACTCGCAGAAGGCGCGACCAAGCCCGAGCTGGGTTTCGCGACGAGATTATCACGGTGATCAAAACACTGTGCACGAGATCTACACCCGCAGGGCCCTCAACGTCCTCAGGCCTCAAGGACCTCAACGGCGGACAACGCACGCGACTTCAAGTTTGCATTTCGCGTGGCTAGAGAGAAATCACGTGCTGTGAGCTCTTGACACGTACAGCAAGGTACAGCATGTCGGTCGCGGTGTACGAGTATATGACGACGCTGGTGCCCATATGGTACTGCTGTACGCAGTGCGCGGACGATGTGAAGGCGAAGGATGTGGATTGGGCATTCTGTTATCCCGGTCAGCGTCTCTGTACTGATTGCATGATGCACCAAATTGCGTCCGAGTATGTCCGTGCAGAAGTCGCCAACAAGTCGCTCCGCGTCGTTTCTGCAGTCCTATGTACACGGTCCCTTTCCCGCGATTGGAATAAGCAACAGCACAATTCGCAACAGAAGCCTTCATCAAGCTCATTCATGCAGCTAGTTGTCCTTGGTCTTCGGCGAGCCAATCATTTGAGTTCGTCAGTGCGTTGGCCCGGGGACAGGACCATGACTCACAGGAAATGTTTTCCGTCGGAAGGCGAGCAATGGTGTGAATAAATGCGTAAACTGGTCTTGTACACTGCAAGAAATGTGGCAGGCAGCTGAAGCGCGAAGCTATCGCGTTGAAGAGTCGACCACAAGTGACAAGTCAACCAGCAAGAGGAGACTGAGGAGGGCGACGGGAAACACGACTGTCACGTAGTAACTTATCATAACGTCGCCGGTCGACCGTCAAACCTTTCCGTAACGCTTGGCGCTGGACGCCCAGGCCCCACAACGCGAATGCGCAGCGGGTGACATCTGCGACTAGCCAATGCGATGGTTTACTTCAACGAATGTGATCTGGCATGCTTTCACCATGACCTTGGTTGCGGCCATGGAACAGACTAAAGTGTTCCATGACAGCAATCAAGTTTGAGTCAGGTTGCGGGGTATGTTGCCACACTTTTCGTACCGTCGTACTAAAAGTTTCACTAGTAAAAGTCACAAATCGATCGAGAGCGACTTTTTCCTCACGAAGCCATACATGCATGCCTCAGTCTCAATTACGACAGTTTGACAGTACTAGATTCCGCCGATGTTGGTAACGGGTCTCCGAGTCACGCTGGAGTTCACCACTCGCCAGGCGGTCCGTAGTGCTGGATAGCCAATGAAGTCTATCCTCATGGGTACACCTACCGGCCGTACATAGACATTTGGCATGGATTTCATGCTGATTGTAACACGGCCGAGCTGTCGAGTCTCAATTCGAACCTTCACTGTCCATGTCAGCATCATGGTGTCAGCGGGAGCGCGTTACACTGTGTCACATCATTATCTGTGACATAACGTGGTTGGACGCGCCGAGCACGCGCCGGCGTCGTTCACGCGTGAATTCGCAAGTTCAATGCGTGTCCTCCTCTTCCTCTTCGTCGATATCATTGCATGCGCAAGGTTTGCATAGCTCGCCGTCTTCTTTCCTGCGCTCATCCGTCACTTCCCGGGCCTAAGATGCTGAATGATTGCGCCAGCCGTCGTAGACTCAGAGTCCCTACCTTCGCCGCTTGGTCGTAGCGCAAAGCCCCGCACCCGTTGCCCATGATCAAGAGACTCGAGGAGACTTGGCTGGACAGGGAATACAGGGAGTCTTCTTGACATTGGCCATCCGGTGCCATGGAGCACCTCAAGGTGAGTTGAGGTTCAGACAACTAGCTAAGCTGTTTGTATCAACGTAGGCCGGGTGGGGGTAGTTGCGCTCCGCGTTCTCGAACAACCAGTTCTGCCTCGAACATATTCTCGCTTCTCCCCATGTCAGAAGCATATGCGTGCTCACTGTTCTGTAAACGGTTAAGAATGCTACTATGTGATCCATCGCATTGAAGTGCAACGGGGCGTGCGTAGTGACCGCGAACGCTCCAGACCTTTATCCTTGCCGACCACATATAGCTTGCATTTCGATCGCTATTAAGGTATGCAATCACTATGCCTGTGACCCCAGTCTTCCGCCTTTTCTGACCTTGTTTCTGCGGCTGACTGTCGTGCGTTGAAGCGAGGCTCGGCTCGTGCATGGCGGCTGACCGGTCCACTTTGAAAGGTATGTACATCATCGACCCGTCGTGCCTGTTCTCTCGCTCCTTCTTCCATTCAGCTTTCACGTAGCTTCTGTTTTGCTTTCCCCTGCTATGACTTCGCCCTCACGGATACCTGCGCCTCGCCGCAGTACAGGAGGGCCTCAGCTCTCGCCTGCACACTGCTCCGCTCCTCCGAGTACACCAAACAAGGAACAATACGCCGCACAAGAAGACCCTTCGCGAAGGATATTTACTGAGGCCGTCAACGGCTGTGTCAGCCCCTTGAAGCTCCCCTCCACAGCTATCAGCTTCCCCTACAAGACCAAGAAGGACACTGCCTTGCCCGCTGGGGTCCCACAACGACCTCCATTCGCTCCAAGAGTCGCTTCCGAACCTGACACTGAAAACCAACCGACTCATGACCCTGCCCTCACGCACGCTCGCCGGCAGTCGATCCCCAAGTCTCCCAGGAAGGTCTTCCATTTCTCCACGCATCGCCAAGCTCCGCAGACAGACTCGTCGCCTACCGAGCCAGCACCGCTCGTATCGCTCGTCCCTTCCGTCCACCTCAACGACGCACCCTCTGCCGTGTCAACAGGGCCAGCCAGCTGCGTCCGTAACTCCGCGTCAGTCTGCATCCCTTCTCCGGGGTTAACGGGCCCGTGCCTCCTCGCACCTACGCCATCGTTCGTCGCTGTCCACGCTGGCGACGGGGCGGTTACTCTCCTCGGCGGTGCGAATCCGGACCTGCATACTGCGAAGGAGAGGAAGGGAAGAAAGGGGTGGCTGAGAGCTGCGGCGCATTCGAGCGCGGCGCCGGCAAAGGAATCACTGATGCTCGCGACGCCGTCGTTCGTCGCGCTTGGGAACTCAAGCTCGATGGCTAGCTTCGCGTCCAAGTATTCGATCTGGCATGGTCGTCGTGGTCGGGACGCGAGGAAGGCAGGCACGAGCAAGGGTGGCGAATCTGGTGTGGCTGCTAGGGTCCTGTCGAGTTCTCGGGAGGCGGCTGTGATCGATGATCCTAGACTTGAAACTCATGAAGGAGATGTCTTCAACCCCGTCATCAAGGTCGTCCCTCAAGAGCCAGAGGAAGAGGATTGCGTCGTCGGGTTGCCGAAGGATATGCTTGATACTCTCAAAGAACTGGAAGCGGTCGCCGAAGTGATCAAGGATCTTCCTGTGCCAGCCTCGCCGCAACGCCCTGTTCCCGCGTCATCGATCGAGATGCAGCCTTTGCAGGACACCGGGAAATCCGACACGGTCCAGGACATCGCGGTGCCGATTGCCAGCCCCCATAGCGAACAACCGGATCCTCAAGCGAGTGACGATGCCGCCAAAAAATTGCAGTTGATGTCCAAGGCAACTCCTGCTGCATCACCGACGAAGCTGCCGCGCGTCGCCCGCATGCCTCTGGGACGCGCCGTCTCTTCACCCCTCACTCCGGCGAGGTCTCAAATCCCAGCTGCTCCTCGAAGGGCCTTCAGCGATCCAAGCTGCACCCCGAAGACATTGGCGGCTTCTCGTCTACCGTCTGCCAGTGCTACTCCTACCACGCCCAAGACCTCTACGAGACCGACCATGAGGACTCCTGGCGTTTCTGGAACCAGGTCTATTGCCGCTGTTAAGCCGAACGTCCCGAACGCGTCTATTGAGAAGTCCCCTGCTCGCGCCGCTCCGAAGGCTCTAGCTCTTCCTACACCGGTACAGACGCCTAGGACATCCGGCGTCGCACATGGGCCTTCGAAGCTGAGAACTGTCTTCAAGCCACGCGTCTCCGAGCCTGTTCGGCCTGTCACGTCTTCTCTCAGGAAGGTATCCCCCGCGATCCCTGTCTCGAGGATTGCACGGAAGGCGCGGCACTCTGAGGTGGCTCCTCGTACTACCAGCTGATGTGTTGCTCCGGCGGTCTGTCCAATTCGCTTGTTCTGTGTAGACTCCATTGCGATGCGCCTTTTGATCTGTTTTCCTGCTGTATATAGGTCTCTAGGCAAATTTATGCGTGATTCCGCACTCATATTATGTTCAACGTTCTGAACCCCCGTCGCGGTTAGTGACGCATCTCACGTGACCGCGTCGCGGAAAGGAGCGGCGCGCCGCAGCGCGGCATCATCATGGCGATAAGTTGACCAGCTTGAGCTCATCTTGCAAATTCGCGCCGGTCCGAGTTATATTTGAGCGCAGGAACGTTCCCATGCACCACCCTCGGTGCGACGTCGTCCCTTGTCGGCGCACTCACTCCGTGCCTCCTCCCTCCACCCGCAGTTCTCCTTGCAACGACCTACAAAATGCCTTGGGACCTTATCAAGCTCAACAACGGTAAGCATGCATCACGTATGTGTAAGGCGTCGAGCTGATTATGAATGCACGAAACCTCGTCTTGGATTCGAACACTGCGTGCTCTGTGCGATGGTCGCACGGACAGGGACGAGCATCCCTGGCGTCGCATTTGGGACCTGGACGTTGGGCGGCGGACAGCAGTCGACCGATAAGGTCGACCAGGCCATCTCGGTTGGGTTCAGCCACATCGGTGTGTTCTTGTCGTCCTCGGGTCTCGGTCGCCACTTAACGTCGCACGATAGACACGGCACAGTCGTACAGGAATGAGTACGAGGCCGGCATCGCCATCCACGAGAGCGGGCTTGCGCGCGAGGACCTCTATATCACGACGAAATACTCAGGACTGAACGGGCTGGACATCGAGACCTCCATTCACAACAGCCTGAACAACGTGAGTCATGCGTGAACGTTGTTGCATGGGCGTCTCACGAACGAAGGGAGTTAGCTGGGCGTCGACTACGTGAATCTCTACCTGATCCACCACCCGCGCCTGGCCGTGCCGGACATCCCCACTGCGTGGTCCAAGATGGAGAAATTGCAGACTGACGGACTGGTGAAGTGAGCCCGTTCCATAGGCCGTGCGGGTTGTGTTCATGCTCACTGGCCATCCAGGAGCATCGGCGTTAGCAACTTCAACGTTCTGCAGCTACAGACGCTCCTCGACTCTGCCAAAATCAAGCCTGTCGCTAACCAGGTCAGTTATCTCATTCGCCGGACGCGTTTCTTCGGATTTCTGACTGCAACTCCATTGATCCAGATACTGTTCCATCCCTATGTCCTTGCGTCGCAGGCGCCCATTGTCGAGTTCGGGAAACTCAATGGCATAGTGAGCGAGGCGTACAGCGTGCTGACGTGCGTTCAGCACTGCGAGTGCGATCAACTCCTTCGCTGACTCCATTGCCTTGTGCAGCCCGCTCACTCACCATACTGGCGGCCCGGTAGACAAGCCGCTGAAGGAAATCGCTTCTCGACTCAACGCGGAGCCTGAGCAGGTCCTCCTCGCATGGGCCAAGGCGAAGGGTGTCGTCGTCGTCACGTACGTTCTGTTGTCGCCACACCGTTCCGATCATCCACTGACATTCTCGTCCCTCCGTCAGTGCTAGCACGAGGAAGGAGCGCCTCGACGGCTACTTGGCGGCGGGCGACCTCGGTTAGTAATATTGGCCCTCTGTGTTCCATGGAAAGCGTGCTCAGAGAATCCTTATTCGCAGAGCTGACGAACGAGGACATCGCGGCTATCGATGCAGCGGGTATCGTCGGTGCGCGCCGTATCACTGCACGCACGTACCTCCGGCGCGCAGCTCTCGCGGCTCTGATCGGAGCTGCTGTTCTTGGGGTGTGCAGCTACTCTGGCATAAACGTATTGTGAGATTGCAGAGCGGCTGATGATAGGACTCGTCTTCGGTGTACTGGTTAGTGTCAAGTCGTTTGCCTGTGGACTTTGATGTTGTGTTTTCGATTGTATGTACTGATTATAGGGGCTGAATAAATAGCGGTTACGATCGTACTGCTTACATGTACATAGTCAGGCTTGAGTAGTATGATAGTACTACTGGTGGCTGTGAACGGCCTTGGATGGTGACGTCCCGTTACACTTCTACGGCGGCTCTAGTAGTCAGCAAAGAACACTGAGCTGTCAAGGAAATATAACATTTATGGTGTACGCCTTTCACATACATAGCAATAGTACATATGCACTGACCTCCGTTTGGTCGAAGTGAAGGTGGCGGGTCTGGACCTGACAGTACGTCGTAGTAAGTTGGGCGCTCGCGAGATCAGATCTGAGTCGGTACATACGAGACTGAGCGCTCCGAGTCTCCTCTCTTCGCTCCTCCACTAGCATAGTAGCAAGAGCAAGTCTCTGCTTCCTCGGCGCACCTTCTGACTGCCTTCGCGAGGAAGTACTTACTACATATGTTCTTCAAGCCACATCGACGCGGATTCAGATCTCGATCTCGATGAAAAACAGCCCCCTTTATCGCATTTCTCCAGCATTTCTCTCTGGGACGACGGTCATACGGCCTTCACTTTTTTCTGTCGAAAACAGGACTACGCATTCGTGATGGCAATCTCGCTGACGATGTCATACAGAGCAGCCAAGGCCCACCTATGCTTCGCGTACGGAACGGACGTGGACAAGTACCTCTCGGGGTTCGTGGGGGACGATCTGCGGACGCTCGGGCTTCCGATGCCGCACGAGTGCCTCTTGAAGGCATACCGTACCGGCCGCGTGCGATGCAGGTGGTATGTGGAGGATGGAACTGTACGTCCTCCTTGTGCGGGGTGCGGGTCGTCTGACTCTGAGGCATTTGCAGGCATTGCACCGGCAGATATCGCAGGTGTTCTATGACGTGCGAAAGTACCCGTCCCCTCTTATTGATTTACTGATGTAAGCCCAACTGACATTATCGCGCTGCTCATGCCGCTCATGTACACCTTTGTTGCCAGCGTGTGTCTTGAGTTCCAGGAAGGGTATGTTTACGATTCCTCGGTTCGAAACTCAGCACTGACGCTATCACCCGCAGTAACAAGCACAGCGTGTTTGCCTTCCCGCCTGCTACACCCAAATGGAAAGGGAGTAAGGCTTCGAAGTCGTTCGTGCGCGCACCAGTGGCGTCTTCCTCAGGGAAAGCGCCGTCCATGCCGAAATCGACATTCATTGCAAGACATGCGGCTTCGCCTTTCGCCCGATTACCGTCATCGCATCCGAGCACGACGCAGTCGCGTCCATGGTCGTCGCATATGAGAGACCCACCAGGCTCCGCAGCAAGCTCGACTAAGGCATCCAGCTCGGAGTACGCAGCATCAACATCCTCTTATACAATTGAGCTTCCCGCAGCGACAAGCACTCCACCGTCAACCCGGAGATGGGGTCCATCTGCACGGTCACAGGACGACGTTGTCCCCAAGGTGGAGGAAGAGAGCCACGAGGCTATTCTCGGTGGCGCCCTTTCAGATCCGAGGCCACCTCAGGCTACTATCGACTCGCCCCATCGAAGCACCTTCCCATCTCCTGCAACCCCTCGCAACCCCTCCCGCCCCAGCGCTAGCCATGGGTCCTCCCCCACACCCTCTGTCTTCTCGTCAGCGACGACTCGTAGCATCACGACGTCGGACGTGGGGGCTTTGACACGCGAGGTTTGGGACGTGCGTAGGGAGATTGCGGCGTTGCGTGGGAGGGAGGCATCGTTGATGCAGCGACTCGAACGGGCGAAGAACCCGGACCTGCAAGCGGAGCCGCTGAGACGGGAACGGCCTTGGACACCGGAGGCGCATGGGCCACCGTCGGTGGACGGCGAGATCGCAGGTATGTTTTACTTCTCATGAAGACTTGGTCCAGCGCACTCATCTCGGTGAGAAGCTCTCCGCGCTCAGTTGGAGGCAGAAACCGAGGCGCGACATGCAGCGGAGAGGGCGCTGAAAGCTGAGCAGCGGCAGCGCCAGTTCGCGGAGCGCGTCGTGGCGGATGCGCGGCGAGAGTACGCAGTGCCGTTCGTCGTGCCTGCGCTCATGGATGCGCTCATCAAAATCGCGGAACTCAGCGATGGCGTAGTTTCGGTCGGCAGGTAGCACGCAACTCATCGGCAATGCAGTTAAATAGGTACGATGCAATTGGCCTTTTTCTCGGAGAGCGGTCAAGACGAACTCATCTAGCTTTGAGCTGTGTCTGTTCGTTCATCTGCTATTGATCATAACTTCATCACATGAAGACCGCCGCCTCTTGCACGCTGACGCGGCTTGTATTTTCAGGTGGAAGGGCACGTCCAACCGAGTTACTGTATGCGCACGGTGACGCCGGTCAAAGGGATAGGTTTACATGTCTTCAATGCCTTCTACAGCAACGGTACGCAACCGTTTACGTAAACTCTAAGTTCCGTTTATCGATGCTGACCCAGAATAGAGGTACATCGTTGGGCAGTGTAAGATCATATATACTGTTGTATTCAGATTATAAGCTGTGGTACCGCCTCATGCCGTCCGATTGGTCGTGTCCTCAACTTCGGGCAGGGTGCCACTCTAAGGGCAGTGCTTGATAGCTGCACGCTCCGAAGTAGATGTATGTTATCCGGAAGTTGAGTACGTTCTCATCGAGGAGAAAGCTGACTGTCAATGATCAGATGGTGCATGCTGAGGCACGCGCGTGTCGACGTCAGCATCCACTACATGTGCCTGACATCTCGTCCTGCCACCAGCATGCGAAATCTGCCTTCCCAGCGTCCACCGGCGTATCGCCCATTCACCTCTCGTGTGAAGGCCTGTGTGCGCGTGTGCGCGATTCACAAACCTTGCGCCTTGCTCTAGGGGTCTTCGTGCCGGTACGTACATCGGGCAGCATTTCAGATCGGGACTGATACCGTGACGCAGGTTGCTCCTGAGGGTTGTGGTATAGAACAACGTCTCAGTAACGCGATGCAGAAGGCGCCTAAGGACAGCAGCGGGGATATCCTGCCCTCAGTATTATCGCTGACTTCGCTGAGGCCGTGTTTATACACCCGATGTGCGAGTGTGCCTGGCTATCCTCGAGATGACCGCTGGAATGCACCGGGCGACGCATGTAGCTACGCATCGCCTGGCCAGGGCGCGGTTCAGGACGTCAGACCCAGTTTCCACGCAGCAACCAGAATGTGATGGCGCTCCTCGAGCGGGCGGTACAAAGAGCGCGGTAAGCTTTTCTTCCTCTGAGTAGTGCCGCTCTAACGTGTATTGTGGTATAGACGTCCTGGGCTTGGGTCGTTGAGCACCAGAGCAGGAATCTTGCAATGTAACTACGACCTGAATGAACCGAGGGAGGTGCGTCACGTCTGTTTCGTGTCGCGGCGGTAACGGCGTCGACTCGGACGCCGGTACTGATACGCCGTCTCCCAATGATCCCTAGGTATTAGAAGGAGTGTCCGAACTCGTGGCTCATCCAGGCCAAATTTCTCGCATGGCGACGTCATGCAATGACAACTTCAAGCCCTGAACACATTGTGCCAGAGGATATTGTTCGTAGCCCAGAATGTGAGTGCGATTCCCTTGAGTGACATATAATTTGTTTAAACATGGCTATCGCGGCTCCGGAGCGCTTAAAGGTCATCGTTCTCGACGGAACTGAGATATGTATGAAGGCCTGGCTTGATGTCGGCCGTCTTGCGACGGACACGGAGCCAAACTCCGTGGTATCTGAATGGATGGTCGCAATGTCATTCCTCAGCGATTGTGGCGATTTTGCCTTGTACTCTACGGGCCAAACTACGACGGTCGGTTATACCAACGGCAGGCGCTTGCGTGTTTACGACCTCTGCGGACAAGGTACGGAACAACTCGTTAGAAGCTCCATACACATACCGGTGGCATGTGTTAGAAGGCACAGCTATGTGGTGCCGCACTACTGGCGATGCTCCGAAATGAGCAAGCCACCAGTAACCGGCGGTTAAATAAACTTGGGCTGTGCATCGCCCTGCATTGCCTCGCAGATGTCTCCCCTAGGATACGCCGCATCGATCTCCTCAAAAGACATGCCTCTACTTCCCAGGGTGAGTTTCTCTCCGTCACTGTCCACCTCGTCTAGCGAACCTCCTCCACAGCTCCCTTTCCGACGATGTCAGGACCCTCATTACCAATAGTACGTCCATCATTCGCCCCGGCGCATTGCTTGACCCGGGCTGACGTGTGCGCGTACCAGGACTCTCGAGGTTCACAAACGAGGCATCATCGTCAACACGCTCCTGTTATACCGTCAACGCCTTTTCGTCTCCTTCCGATCGAGTTGTTCGAGGAAATCATTGCTTGGGTGCCATACTCCACGCTGCCCGCCGTCATCTCAGTCTGCCGTGCATGGCATGGCATGACCATCAACCTCCTTTACTCCACCGTCGAGCTCTGCAGCCGCGAGAGCTTCACCATGTTGGCAGAGCAATTGCACACGTCTGCACGTGTCAAGTGTCGCCTCGCAACCACATGCCGTCTGGTCGTCTCTGATCGCGCCTTTCCCAAAACGCCTTCGGAAGCAAACCGAGATGCTTGTAACCACTTCCTCCACGCACTACCACCCGTCTTCTGTACTGCGATGACTGGTCTGCAGACTTTGCAGATTGACGGGGCCTACGTCTTGCTATGCCGTCGTTGTTCTTCATCACCCTTCCCATGTTCAAGACAGTGAAGTCACTGCACTTGTCTGCCTTCCATTTGCACAATATCTCCGAGCTACGGCGTATCATCTGCGCCTTTCCTCAGCTCGAAGATCTTATTTTACGCGGCGGTCGATTTGCTCAACTGCGCTACGCGAGCGACGCGGACATCAAGCAACATCATCTAATGTCAATCCCTCAACTTCGGCATCTCATCATCGAATCGGATTTCTGTGAAGATTCATTCATCGTCGTCGTCGACTGGCTCGTGCGCTCGTGCGTCTGTTCTGGTCTGCGCGAACTGACGATCCGGCATCGTGACGCACCCCCTGATCGGTACGTCCGTCATGGTTTTTTGGTAGCGTCTTTGTTGTCACAGTGTATGTCTTGTGCTCCGCTCTGATCCCGTTCGCAGGTGCAGGTGGGCCAACTGCGATGCACCCCTCGACGACCAGAGTGCCGCAGGGATCAAGCGACACCTTCAGCAAGACCATGCCGCAGACATGCCTCCATGTAACAACTCTGGACAGTCGCTGGGCCATAGTCACACGATGTGCCGCTGGAGCGACCACCAGAACTCAACGACCTGTGGGAAACAGACCCAGAGCGCTCATCAATACGCGCGGCATGTCGCTGCAGTCCATCTCCGCTATTACCAATGTGCCTGCAAGCGGTGCGGCAACCTCCTCTATTGGCGGGATGCCTTGAGACGTCACCAAGTGGGGAACTATTGCAGACATTGTGAGGACCCTAAGGCGCGCAGCGAGGGGGTGGACCATTTGCTTAGGGCAGCTGGCCCATCTCTTACTTGCGCTCGCAGCGTAGGTCAAGCCATCTTCTCCTGGCTTGAATTACGCAGCTGATACTAGCACATGATAGGTCGGAACAAGTGTGTTAACGTCCTTTGAGCACAACACAGCGTTGCGATCCTTCTACGTCGATATCAATGCCGATGATGTCCGAGAATATCAGTTTCGGGAGGGCTGCCTACGGTGGGTCGCGGAAGACTTATGCACCACTCTATCGACTGTGCGGGGTCAATCGCTAGAGCAAATCACGCTCAGTGGCTGTGTCGAAGTCGCGGGGGACTGCGACAACGGATACCACCAAGCTATAGAGGAGCTTGACTTGGAAGAACTACACAGTGTCATGACTCGACCCTGCTTCAATGCGCTACTCAAAGTCAAGGTACAATGGAATATAAAGGTCATTCCAGACAGCTTGTGTGCCTCGGCGCCGACGGTGGACGGCATTGCCCAAGAGTTTGCCACTCACTCCCGGAGGTTCTTCAGACCATGGGATGAACGTGGTATAGTATGTCTCCTACATTTCTGGGAATGAGACGTGAGTTAGTGTTCACATCCGAGGCAGAAGTCATGTCTCATTTCGATGGTGATTGACAGGAGAACTACTCAAATATATGGGACCGCAAGCGAGACATCCAATATGACCTCGCGTCCTCGTCGTATGAGAGAACATGACCTACCAGAAACATCAGCAGGAGGCAGGAGCCGAACGCGTCGCGCATGGGCAGAGGCAGTTGCAAATCGTTGACATCAGGAGGTGACTCGGGTGACGTGGCTACACAGGCATCTATTATGTATGAGGCTGGTCGAACATCGTTTGTTCCGACACGTATAGTCAGAACGACACAACACGCAGTGTCAACGTGTGACGCGCTCGCACAGTCAAACCTGAAGCCTGAGGACTCGGGAGCCACCGGCCATGTCACGCCCAGGCTGGCTGAGGGCATCGTGCCACCGTAAGCAAAGCCCACGATGAGCCGATCCGCGAGGATGGCTGTCAACGTCGACGCTGCATAACCTTAGGTTTGGGAGAGAAGAAGGCCCGCGAACTCTGCGCCTCCCAGATGTACCTAAGAACCATTCTGCTTAGCATCGCAGACCAGTGCAAAGTAGACAGGTGTGCACCATTGCGGTGGAAGTATGCAGGATGCACCACTTGGACGACGATTCCCTTTGATCATCTCGCCGCATGATATGCATGTGTGTAGCCTACCGCGTGTACCCTATCGCGCTTTCCACCTGTATGCTGCGCTGTGTGAGTATATCATCGCCGAACACGGGCCATGAAGACGATAGCATGTATGAAGATGACGCACGATGCTGCATAATTTCATCTCAATCAACCATCATTACTCGTGAATCATCCTCATTGCATTGTTTTAGCGACGACGTTACCTACTACACTGGCCCCGAAAAGTGCACTGTCACTGAGCTCCGCTATCTGGATGAGCGCATCCATAAGCGCAGGGACGACGAACGGCGTCGCGCACTCCCGCCGCGCATCTGCCACGACGCGCTCTGCGAACTCCCGCTGCCGCCGCTCTGCATACAGCGACGCCTCTGCCACGCGCCGTGCATCGGTCTCCGCCCTCAGCTCTGCACGGAGTGCTTCACGCGAGGAACATAAGCAAGCTGAGCCCCAACGTCGCGGATGTAAGACACACCTTCCACCTCATCCTTCCCCTCCGAACGTCCCTCAGACGTCCATGGCCGCTCCCGCGCACGCAGAGGCACCTCTCCCGGCGCGCGTTTCCCTGCTCCAGCCGCTGCACCAGCGCCGCTTCCCGCGCACGCAGCGCCGCCATCTCCCGACGCACGTCCCACACCTCGCGCATCAGCGTACCCACGTCCGACGCCGTCGTGCTGATGCTGGACATGCTCGTCGCCGAGCTCCTGGCCGAGAACATCGACGACGCAGAGGACCCGTGGCTCGCGCGCGAGGGCGACGGACTTGAGCGGGAGCTCTTCGCAAACGCGTACGAGGCGCTGGGAGGAGGGAAGAGGCCGCGTCGAGGAGACTCCTGCGACGGTCGCTTCAGGGCTGGAGGACTGCTGTGCAGGATAGCGTCGTGGCTCTCCTCCTCGACCTTGGGGACTACGAAGCCTTGTGGCCGTGCGGACGTTGTCCCGTTAGCGGTGGCCGCAGCTCTGTAGTTTTCGAAGGGGACGCGAACCCCACGCCGGATGCTGGGGCACTGAACGCTGCGGTACCCGGACGCAGGCCTGTCGACGAAGGTGTTTCCTTGGGAGCGGCGGAACGTTCATCTGTGGAGCTGTCAGCCTCGCCGTGGAACCTGGAAACGAAGTGATTTGTGTGGTCTTGACCGGTGCTCAGCTACAGGCATTCCGAGAATAGGCACGGAACCTACACTGGTGTGACGGTGCCATTGGTCGCGCCAGCGGCGAACTCGCATGTCTCGCGAGGAGCGTCGACTTGGGCGCGGTGGGGGCCTTGCCGGGGCCTGGGGCAGCACATCGCGTGTGTGCGCAGATGCCTTTTTCTGTCTTTATAAGCGAAGGGCGCGGAGGCGACCGTCCGCGATCCGCTAGCAACCAGCCATGAGCGACGCGCCTCGTACACGCGACGTCCCGACCCACCCGTCATGTAGTTCGATCCTCCCACTGACGAAGGGACGGTGTGAAGCGTAGGATGCTGTGATGTAGCGTACGACAGCTCACATGAACAGATCCGGAAACGACCTCGTGGATCTGCGAATGTCTTGGAAGGCAGCGATGAGCTGCCGGTGCAACGACTGTGGGTCTGATCAGAGTCGGAGACATACCTAGAGCGAAACAACACACGCTGCCATCCGCCGCGTCCCAATTGCACAGGACAAATCCTGTGCGCCACGACTTGAGACACATTCGTGTGGCATCGGCAGCCCCAACGTCCGCAGTCGTCTCCAAGGAAGCCCGCTAGGTACCGTTCCGCGTCCTCTTGGTATATATTGAACAGACGAGCCTTGTCCGCTCTATACTGAATGAGCATCGTGACCGCCATCGCGAGTGCAGGTATCAGTGGAATCGAGGAGGAAGGAGGAGCAGGAAGAGCGGGAAGAGCAGGAAGAGGACAACCCCTTGCAAGAGGATGTAAGTTGGATGTAAGTTGCGCATTAGGCCACGGCAAATCCCGCGATCGAGATTGAAATAAAATTAATGCGCATGCCGTGCACGGATACTCTGTCGTCGATATCCGGAGGCACGGTGCACGAAGGTGAAGGGATTGTCTACGTCTGCCTGGGGAGACTACCTCTGTCAAGCTCTGCGAACTACCCAAGAGTCAGGACCCTCGAGCTCGTTCACCGGACGCCCAGGTATGGAACAGAAGCGGTATGTATCGTGTCACGGGCGACTCCCCACTAGTGGCGACGCACCTTGGGCGACCTCTGTTAGCTCTGCACGACGCCCAGAGGGGGTCAGATCCAGACGTTCGCATGACGATGTCACGACACACCGGGAGAGCCACCAGGATCGAGTTGCTCGCGATTGGCGATCTGCGGTCTCGCCCCGCGTCGAGCGCCGGTTGCGCATGCCCATGACGCGTCTCTGACAGGTCTCTGACGCATGTCGTCGCCGCTGCTCTCTCTGTCCGCGACTCGTCTTGTCGACTCGTCCAGCCAGCAATATCCGTCCACGACCGCCATCCGCTCTCCGCGTGAGCACCCCGCCCTTCCGATGCGCCGAGGCTTCTGCGTGCCTCGCAACACGACCCCGGTGCCCGACACAGGCACGACCCGCGCACAGTACTAGTATCGCGCCTGGTATGTATGCGTGTCCGCCTTCCCTCACTGTACTAACGAGTGTCCCAAGGACGCTCAGAGCGCTGCGCCCCGCCCCTGTCCAAGACCCGTTCTCCGTCCATTCGCCCTCCACACACCCGCCCGCCCACCATCCCTCCCACGCGTCGACTGCGCTACCCGACGTACTTCCCGTGTCCCGCGGTCGGCCGTCGCAAGCCAACGATCTGCTGCATACAACGCGAAGACATGAAGAAACGGGTACGCGTCAGCGACACCGAACACGCTAATACGGGAGTGCGTACCGGACCCTCTGGTCTACACAGATGGCTGTCCGTGCTGGCGTCCGCACGGTACGTGTCACTGTGGACGCTGCGCATCCCGCGCGCTGTCGCGTTCTGCGTGGCAGGACCACGTCAGCCGCCTGGAGCGACGCAAACTAACTGACGTACCGGTGGCGATGTGCAGCCCGCGAGACAGGCAGGTGCGTTAGACCGTTCTGCGTGGCGACGTATGTGAGTGACACTTGCAGGGCAGCAGGTCATGAGTCACGTACCACAGCGAGCTCAAGTTGTGGATGCCGAGAGCCGTGCTTGAGGCTGACGTCTGCATAGTCGAGGGCCGCTCGATGCGAGACATCGGGAGCCGCGGATGATCAGACAGAGGGCGGACGTCGTGACCTATGGACGGCAGACCAAACGCTCATGCATCACGGCTCGGCGCGTGCGACGCAAGACCTCATGTGGGGAAGCAGCTTGCACGGTCGGTGAGGGCCGTGCGGGAGGGACGGTGAGCGCGTGAGGGGACGTGCCAGAGACTGAGCAGCCCTGGACCAGCCTGCACACAGTGCACGCCCGGGCAAGGGGCAACCGGCGTGGCAAACTCCGCGTCCACGTCTGCTCGCACGGTGGTCGCGGCTCACGAGCGCGGACCAGGACGGCCGTTGGATACGTATGGGTGCGCGCAGCCGCTTGTTCGCTAACACAGCCGGTCGCGAGGCGTCGGTCGCACAGAAGGCGTGACGGCGGTGTGTTTGCGGACGGGACTCATAGAGCGCAGGCAGAGGCAAGTGGCTAGCGCGCAGATGCGTGCTGACCGTCACGACCACAGGGCTTCGCTTGCCGACTCAAGGACGTCTACGGACCGAGGGCGAGTCCGTGACGATACGGGGATGGGCCGCAGGTGCTCTCATGACACACAATTGCACGAAGGTACGTGCGCTGTTGCATCCGCTTGCCATCGAGTGACATGGACATCGACGTGCGGCCGCCTCCTCGCTTACGCTTACGCGGGGCGCGGACGTTGCTATACCGACCCAGTGCTCGCACAACGAACACACGTCCGGTCCCCACGCCGGGACAGTACGGCACCCGAGATTACGGCACCCGAGACCGATCTCCTCGCCGTCACCGGACGTTGAGGGCTCCATGTGCCGAGTGAGTGCACAGGACGAGGTCGGTTCTCAAGGAGACGAGCCAGTCTGCCGTCCACCGAGCCAGGCGAGCAACTTCCACCCACCGGGAGCTCACGGGGCACGCATGGCTGGGACGGGCGAGGCCCGACATGGACATGCCGGTCTGCCCTGTGTTACGCAACGACCGCGGGCGGGACAGGCCGAGCATGACGGCCCGGGGTTTGCTCTGTCCGCTGTCCGGAGCGTCGCCGTGCGCAGCGCGCTGTCAGCTCTGCTTCAACAGTAAGCCGGTGACGACGCGCCTGTGCACGCCGCCGGCTGAGTGTGGTCTGTCGACGTGGACTACTGCTACTGCTATGTAGATGGACGTATCCCCCGGACGAATATATCTGTTGAGTGCAGATGTGAGTGGTAGCGGACGTGACGAAGCTGAAGAACTCGCTGCGAGCAGAGTCGAACGCGGGACGGACTCTGACGGGCAGGACGTTAGGGACGCAGGCATATGACAACAGTGGAACGCATGGACGTACCTTCCAAGTCCGCCGTTTGAGACTGGCTAGTGTTCTGTCGAGAGCTGGGAGGGCATGGTGAGTCGTCGGAATCGCGCATGCCTTACTTCTGATGTGACGCACCTAGCCAGCTTGTACTTGGTTCGACGGATACTCGTCAGTGACCAGTCGGTGGATGCCAATGAGTGATAGCGTACCTAACGAGTCGGTGGTCTCCGGACTCTGGCAGGGCTGTAGTTCGACAGGATCACGTATGCCGTGCGATCATCCTGGTGAGAGGTTCATTGAGCTACATAGACCACGGTGGACGAATGGCACTGACTTACTATCCCGTTGACAGGATGCCTCCTTGGTTCGAATGCAAGTCTGGTGCAGGAATCGTTAGCGCAGCCCGAGACTCGAGGACACTGGCGACCGCCTACAGCGGTCCTGCTGCCTGACGATCGACTTCTGCGTAGCGACCGTGCCCATCCCGGGCCGAGCCCCATCGTGCAGCTCAGCCCATCTCACGATAGCCGATTGGTTCATCGGACCCCGCCGAGTCGCAATTCAAAGGCACGGCGCTCCGGACGCAGCAAGACATCATCAAGATGTTGCAAATTGCACAGTAGTGCCACGTCCGAGATTCCCGTTCGGTGCGCTTCCGAATGTCGTCAGCTGCAAGCCCACGGCAGACGACGAGTCGCGTATTCGATACAACACGACGACCAGTGGACAGCGGCATCGTCTACTACCCGCAACACGACTGGACCGACGACACTGCGCATGATTTTTGCAGACCAGTCCTGCATGCGTCTGGCGGTCTCTGGCAGCGGCGCGTCCCCATGTATCAATCAAGGGACAGGCACATGAGGCCCAGAACACCGACCTCCGATCGTGTGCAACGAGCCACACCAGTACCGCAACGCTGGTCCGGGCTCTCGCACACGTCACGGCGATCGGGATGACCGGTAGTCTCGGATGCCCTGTCTCCTCTAGCGAAGGATACACCCACTACGTACGGTAAGTACTGGTGTATAGTATGGTGTATTGTGCGTGAAGCACGTATATTCCAATTCGTATTGAAGAGACCGTCAGCTTGTCGATTGACCGAGTTGGCAAGAGAAGTGGCGACGTACCAGTTCGTCTTACGTGGGGTAAGTAGCATTGTTATTGGGAATGGAAGAGCGGAATCAGGATTAGAGAACAAATCCACAGCCCGAGAACAACGTACCGCACGTGAATATCAGGTAGGCAGGCTGCGGAGTACGCGGAGGACACCGTGACTGCGCGCACACGACCTCGGTAACAACGGAATACGGGTGTACCTTACGGGTCCGCCGTTTGACACCGGCTATCGCGTCGAGCTGGACAGGCATTGGTTAGTCGTCGGGATCGTGCATACTCTGCTTCTGATATGACACACCCAGTCAGCTTGCCTCCGGTTCGACGGATATCCGATAGTAACGAGTTGGTGGTTTCTCGACTCGAATCGGGCTGCGTTTCTATGACATTGTGTTCGCCGTGCGATCAACAGACTGGTGTGCCAGTGAGAGGTTCAGATTGAGTTCGACGACAAAGAGTGAACGACGATGACTTACAGTTGCATTGATGGGATGTTCGTAGTCGACACCTTCATGATTAGCAACGGAATCGAATGTCAGCCTTAGCCTGGCGATCTGAGCAATTGTAGTTTAGTATCGGGATCACATGTATCTGTTCAGAACATAAGAAACTCACCGAACTGTATGATCAGTAGTGGCCAATAATTGTGACGGAAGTGTACACTTACGCCACGAGCACCTGACAGTGATGCAAGATTCATCGCTCTGATTATAGCGTTACCGTGCTCTACAGGGCAGTTTCAGTGAATGTGTTAGTTGACTTTCGCGGACAGAATAACCCACCGTTCCGCGAAGCACCTGGCTGCTATCCGGGGCTGGCAAAAACTATCAGAACTCGTGTACGTCAATTCACTCCCAGAAGCAGAGTCAACACTGTCGTGCACTTACCTTCCGGGAGCGCAGCAATTGCCTGTCAAAGCGTCAGAGCATTGAATAGGAGTGGATCAAAGCAATAGACGACTGTTGGTCGAGTTGCTGCGAGGGATGGGGTCTACGCCACAAGTGGCCTGTCTTATATACCCTGGATAGAGACCAAGCCGCGCGTGCGATGGTCCGTGCGCGTGAGTCAACCTTCCGGTGATGTGCTGTCATCCCGACTCCCATCAAATTGCTACCGCTTAACGATCCGCCGCTTCCCACTCGTCGTGTCCAATAGCAATGAAGGCGGGCTGCACTTACCGGGTACAGTGGTAAGCCATTTCCGAATCACCGGGAGAATTCCCGTCTTCCCAGGTTGCGAGGTTCCTGCTTGACACATGTTTGCTATGATTGGCGCTTGTACAGCGAAACCGGTGATGCGATATTCTCTCGCAGCTGCGATCCGTAAGTGTCTTCGTGGCGAGCTCCCAGCACTGGCAGGGTCATCTCATCGGGAGAATTGACACTGCACGCGGGCGAGAATTCATTTGAGAAAGATATGCAAAAGAGGTATCACATATCCTAGAGAACTTTTATGTACCACCAGGTGAGGACAAGTCATAGGATGAGAAGGAGAGCCAAACATGAACGGGCGTAAAACAGGCGCCCACAGCCACAGCGGTTGAGAGCCTCGTGTCTTCAGATCGTGCTCGAGCGATCTCAATCCCTTGGGCCTTCAAGCACCGGCGGCTCTTGCCCCGCCTCTGTGACCGTTGTCCATGCTTCTCACAACACACACTAAGAAATCTACAAGTGCAGGAACTGGGACTCATCTGCGGCTGTCCTTGGGCACTCAAGCACCAACAATAACCTTCCACTACCACTCGACTCAATCGCGACGACTCCGAGTTAGCGCTGACGCCTGCTACACTCGCAAACAATGACGGCGGTGTCTGAATGGTAAGGTCGTGGTCAGATCAGCATGCATTGCTGGTCAGCTAGGCGAGGACATTGGAGTAAGTACCGTGTTGCCGGTGCCTTCGTGACAAATACTCTAGACTCTAGAACATCCGGTAGGGTCCGAGTCGGGCAACCGTCGAGAGCACAAGAGCCAGGATCAACTTGTGCACTCGTGTGTTCGGCGGTATCCAAGGCGGGTAATCTTGTACATCAATCAAAGACCGGTGTCACACCTTGGGCAAGCCCGAGGAGATGTTACCTAGTAAAGTACTCAGTGACGAAGCTCCCTCAGGATGCTGTCTCATACAAACTGGCACTTGTTCTGTCAGTGTGACACGATGGTCAACGGGGCTACTATCCTAACTGAGGCTTCAGGAAATGAGTTCAGGGAAGGGGAGACCACTGATTCCAAGTTACTGGACCGAAGCCTGTTGCTAATCTTGGTTCCAAGCGAACGGGATATGGTAGGTTGCCGGGCCAGGTCCGGCGGGTAGCATAGAGAAGCATCACTGATCGGACACAAGCTGATTGGGAAGTGGTCAGAGTCACGTTCCGAGTCTTTCGCTGTTGCCCCAAAAGGTTGTTTGCTTGTGAATCTCACTCAGGACGTCACCCAGCAGCCTGCTACATCAGGATATACATCAGTAAGTGGCTACCAATCATCTCATGGGGAACTCTTGAATATGATTTTGAAACCACAAGGATTTGAGCAGAAGACAGGCTCAGAACTGCGTGAGAACACGGCAGATGAGTAGGGTCACAGGTGAGGTGAAACATGCCGAAATCAATGGAACCTTCGCCGAAAGCATCAGCACCGCTGTGGGTTGCTACGCACCGGTGTGGAAGATGCAGATTGGTTAGTCAGGAATATAGTGTTTGCGTGGCCTCCATTCCCGTTCACCGACGCAGACTCGGAGCTCCCTACCTGCAAACTCGACTCCGTAGTAAGCAACAGATTGGACAGACAGGATTGCAGGCAAGTCTGAGTATTTTCCGAGCTTTGCTGACCATTTGCTTACCTGATAATACTTGCAGCTCGGCGGACGACCTCAACATGGATACCAGGCCACAAGAGGTACACACGAGACGAGTGAGGCAACAGGTCAGTAAGAAATGACCATTCATTGTCACGAAGAAAAGCGTACTCACTGTCTCCGGTCAGCGAAGATGGCACTGCTGCAGCTTGACTATGCATTGCATCTGCGCAACATCAAGGCAATGTTACGCTCGACGGGACTCTATGGGCCGAGAAGTATGGGTGGAAGTGAGCCGTGAATGATCCTACGGCATGTATTAAGTAGACAAAGAGGTGAGCATTCTCGTCCAGAACCCACCGACATACCTGCTTACCGATTTAGCAATGGTGCCGCCTACAGTTCGAGCGACGACGAGTGTTTCCACACTCGGTCACTGGCGGCTCAAACGTGTGCCAGTTTGATCGAGTCGCATGTACTTGGACAGTGGCCGGTGAGGGCCGCGAGGTCGTCGGAGGACTGGACAGCAAAAGCGATTGTAGTCTACAAAGTTATCGAACAGCCCGGCAGACGAGTAGGGTTGTCAGTGAGTCACATTGTCTGACTCTTCAAACTGACCACTCACTTTTGTCATATAAGAGCAGCGAAGACCGTCACGCGATGTTCGATTGTGGGTGCACGGAAATGTGTTTGCTCTCAGGGGCAGTCATTCGGTGCTCCCAATCCGAAGACGGAACCTCTCCCGCCCCGCGCCTCTGCTGCCGTGCCCGCCGTCGCTCAAGCCATGGTCTCGAACATCGGGACATCTAGCTCACCCCCTTCGTGCCCTCCTTGACTGTCGCGGCTCGGGACGGGCGTCTCCTCTTCCTACCAACCACCCCTCCTCAACGTCGTATGCGTCGTGCTCAACTTCACTGCCAATGCAGAAGACGGCCCATTTTCCGACACTGTAATATCACCTATGTCAGCCTTCTCCTGTCACCTCACCTCTTGTTCCCGGTCACATCTCACCTCTACCTCGCACGTCGGCAGCCCCGGAGTCTGTCTACACGAGTCTCGTGAAGGTGTCTGCTCCCCTGCTGACGTGGAACGTACCTAGGCACATATCTAGCGACAATTGCGGTCCTCGACACCTTTGCCGTGCACCCAGTCTCCATCCGTCGACCACCTGTCTTCTACGACAATCGCATGTGGACGCACACACGGCGTGTGTTGTACTGGCCGCGTCCACCTCGTCAGTCTGGATGTCGCGGGATTGAGGCAGCAACCGGGACCTCTAGCCCGGTGTCCGACACTGTCATATCACTGGTGACAGCGCGTCACTACCTTCCATTAGCCCTCTCCCGTTCACAAACGCGTACCGGCACCATCTCGTCGACCAGCTACCTCGGAGGGCGTCTATCGCGACATCCCGAGTCACACAGGGATGTCTGCTCCCTTGCCGACGCCGGTCACGCAGCTGGCGACGTGGACACACGACGTACCCGCCTATCTTCGCGGTGCAGTCGTTGGGCGTCCGTGTGCCGACTCTGTAGCATAGCCCGAATCACGAGCTGGTGATCTATGTGTCCAGCTCGCTTTCGACAGATCGCGCCCCGAGCCCGGACTCCTGTCCGCTGCACAGCCGTCCCGTACCTCCGGTCAGCCACCGACGTGTTGGTGTTGATCTTCCACCCTCGCACGAGTCCGACGTTGCGGCTGCGCCCTCGCAACAACCGGTCTACACGGCTCGTCCCCCGAGACCGTACGCGTGAGAGGACGTACGGAGCGGCCGGGAACTTCGTCCAGCCAGACCGGAAGGAGCTGCTGAACACATCTCCGCGTGCTGCGTAGTCTCGCGCTGCGTACGTTCCCCGACACTGTAATGTGGTCAATGCGGGCCACTCGTGTGTGCGACGTCCTCAAACTCACGTTTCCCGGTGTTGAATCTCACTCCGCCGGTCGGTGGCACCCCCTCAAGCGCAGCTGACGAAGATACCACTCTGGTCGTCGGCGTAGAGTCCTGGGATCTCGTGGTTAGTTTCTGCGCGTCCGATGATATGGTAAGTGCGTATCTCGATGGTTGCGTGAGGGCTTGACTTACTGGCTGTCCAGAAACCCTTGAGAGCGGGGACGGCGGTCTCCTTGTGGCTACTCTCCGAGCCCAGTCGACAGAAGGCTTGGGGCAGGCAACTCCGGTACGCGTTAATCGAGCCGACGCGCACGTCAAGTCTCACGCCCAGGCCCCAGACCCGACTTTGTTGCTCCAGAGAATCGCGGTCGACCTACACCGGCGGCGGGCGAACGCGGGAGTGATCACAGGCCCGGAGCGTACGGTGAGTACAAAGCACGCGTGATGTTCCATGCTGCTTGCTGACAGTATGCAAGTCAGTTTGCCGGTCGGGACTGGAGCTTCATGGTAGGCCCGCGGACGTCGCGCTCTGACGAGGGGACGGCGACACAAAGGGGTACTAACGCGACAGGCGCATAGGCTCGCAGGTGAGTAACATGGCTCGGAAGTCACATATGGGTGTACTCACCTAGTGCAAGGAAACAGTGAGCTCGGCTCGGTCTGTGTACCGGCAGATGGCCTCGCAGGGACTGCGCTCGGTAGACGACCCGAGTTTCGTGGTGGGCAAGGGTAATTTGGTGAGTCCTGTCAATGCTGCCGACGAACGCGGCAGACGAGTAGGGCTGCCGGTACTTATCTCGTCTGTTTCGCGATTACTCGCAGACGTCGGGACAAGGCACCCGTGGAAGTCCTGTACACAGCGTCGGTCGGCGAGGTGGAGTTGCGACCGCCGAAGTTCGGCGGTGGCAAAGACAGCGGCGAGCATCGTGATCTGATCGAGATCGACTCCGAGGGCGAATATAGAGTGTGGCTGAGACTTGTGGAAGCGGACGGACAGGGGTAGCTGAAAATCGATGTCATTTCTCTCCGAATCCGTTAGAATACAATGAGAGCTGTATCCTACGGCCCGTGTGCCCTGCTGGAAGTGCGCCCAATGTGTCCAGGACGAGTCCAGCGCCCTTACACCTAGGACGAGTGCACGACGGCATTTATACCCTAGGACGAGTCCAACGCGTCATCTATACCCTAGGATGTGCACAGACTCACGAATTATTGACGGTCCATCTCCGTCTCCCCATTCGCCCGCTAAGCCCCGTCGCAACGCGGTCTCGGCGCCAGCTCCCGGCAAGCGCCCCCGTCCTTCCTTGCCACATCCATCTCTCCCGCTGCCACGTCCTCTGCTTACCTGCTGCACTACCTTCAGCCCCTGAACGCATTCCACGTCCTTCCGAAGTCCATGGCCGCTCCCGCGCACGCAGAGGCACCTCTCCCGGGCGCGCGTTTCCCTGCTCCAGCCGCTGCACCAGCGCCGCTTCCCGCGCACGCAGCGCCGCCATCTCCCGACGCACGTCCCACACCTCGCGCATCAGCGTACCCACGTCCGACGCCGTCGTGCTGATGCTGGACATGCTCGTCGCCGAGCTCCTGGCCGAGAACATCGACGACGCAGAGGACCCGTGGCTCGCGCGCGAGGGCGACGGACTTGAGCGGGAGCTCTTCGCAAACGCGTACGAGGCGCTGGGAGGAGGGAAGAGGCCGCGTCGAGGAGACTCCTGCGACGGTCGCTTCAGGGCTGGAGGACTGCTGTGCAGGATAGCGTCGTGGCTCTCCTCCTCGACCTTGGGGACTACGAAGCCTTGTGGCCGTGCGGACGTTGTCCCGTTAGCGGTGGCCGCAGGCAACTCTGTAGTTTTCGAACGGGACGCGAACCCCACGCCGGATGCTGGGGCACTGAACGCTGCGGTATCCGGACGCAGGCCTGTCGACGAAGGTGTTTCCTTGGGAGCGGCGGAACGTTCATCTGTGGAGCTGTCAGCCTCGCCGTGGAACCTGGGCACGAAGTGATTTGTGTGGTCTTGACCGGGTGCTCAGCTACAGGCATTCCGAGAATAGGCACGGAACCTACACTGGTGTGACGGTGCCATTGGTCGCGCCAGCGGCGAACTCGCATGTCTCGCGAGGAGCGTCGACTTGGGCGCGGTGGGGGCCTTGCCGGGGCCTGGGGCAGGCACATCGCGTGTGTGCGCAGATGCCTTTTTCTGTCTTTTATAAGCGAAGGGCGCGGAGGCGACCGTCCGCGATCCGCTAGCAGACCAGCCATGAGCGACGCGCCTCGTACACGCGACGTCCCGACCCACCCGTCATGTAGTTCGATCCTCCCACTGACGAAGGGGACGGTGTGAAGCGTAGGATGCTGTGATGTAGCGTACGACAGCTCACATGAACAGATCCGGAAACGACCTCGTGGATCTGCGAATGTCTTGGAAGGCAGCGATGAGCTGCCGGTGCAACGACTGTGGGTCTGATCAGAGTCGGAGACATACCTAGAGCGAAACAAACACACGCTGCCATCCGCCGCGTCCCAATTGCACAGGACAAATCCTGTGCGCCACGACTTGAAGACACATTCGTGTGGCATCGGCAGCCCCAACGTCCGCAAGTCGTCTCCAAGGAAGCCCGCTAGGTACCGTTCCGCGTCCTCTTGGTATATATTGAACAGACGAGCCTTGTCCGCTCTATACTGAATGAGCATCGTGACCGCCATCGCGAGTGCAGGTATCAGTGGAATCGAGGAGGAAGGAGGAGCAGGAAGAGCGGGAAGAGCAGGAAGAGGACAACCCCTTGCAAGAGGATGTAAGTTGGATGTAAGTTGCGCATTAGGCCACGGCAAATCCCGCGATCGAGATTGAAATAAAATTAATGCGCATGCCCGTGCCACGGATACTCTGTCGTCGATATCCGGAGGCACGGTGCACGAAGGTTGAAGGGATTGTCTACGTCTGCCTGGGGAGACTACCTCTGTCAAGCTCTGCGAACTACCCAAGAGTCAGGACCCTCGAGCTCGTTCACCGGACGGCCCAGGTATGGAACAGAAGCGGTATGTATCGTGTCACGGGCGACTCCCCACTAGTGGCGACGCACCTTGGGCGACCTCTGTTAGCTCTGCACGACGCCCAGAGGGGGTCAGATCCAGACGTTCGCATGACGATGTCACGACACACCGGGAGAGCCACCAGGATCGAGTTGCTCGCGATTGGCGATCTGCGGTCTCGCCCCGCGTCGAGCGCCGGTTGCGCATCGCCCATGACGCGTCTCTGACAGGTCTCTGACGCATGTCGTCGCCGCTGCTCTCTCTGTCCGCGACTCGTCTTGTCGACTCGTCCAGCCAGCAATATCCGTCCACGACCGCCATCCGCTCTCCGCGTGAGCACCCCGCCCTTCCGATGCGCCGAGGCTTCTGCGTGCCTCGCAACACGACCCCGGTGCCCGACACAGGCACGACCCGCGCACAGTACTAGTATCGCGCCTGGTATGTATGCGTGTCCGCCTTCCCTCACTGTACTAACGAGTGTCCCAAGGACGCTCAGAGCGCTGCGCCCCGCCCCTGTCCAAGACCCGTTCTCCGTCCATTCGCCCTCCACACACCCGCCCGCCCACCATCCCTCCCACGCGTCGACTGCGCTACCCGACGTACTTCCCGTGTCCCGCGGTCGGCCGTCGCAAGCCAACGATCTGCTGCATACAACGCGAAGACATGAAGAAACGGGTACGCGTCAGCGACACCGAACACGCTAATACGGGAGTGCGTACCGGACCCTCTGGTCTACACAGATGGCTGTCCGTGCTGGCGTCCGCACCGGTACGTGTCACTGTGGACGCTGCGCATCCCGCGCGCTGTCGCGTTCTGCGTGGCAGGACCACGTCAGCCGCCTGGAGCGACGCAAACTAACTGACGTACCGGTGGCGATGTGCAGCCCGCGAGACAGGCAGGTGCGTTAGACCGTTCTGCGTGGCGACGTATGTGAGTGACACTTGCAGGGCAGCAGGTCATGAGTCACGTACCACAGCGAGCTCAAGTTGTGGATGCCGAGAGCCGTGCTTGAGGCTGACGTCTGCATAGTCGAGGGCCGCTCGATGCGAGACATCGGGAGCCGCGGATGATCAGACAGAGGGCGGACGTCGTGACCTATGGACGGCAGACCAAACGCTCATGCATCACGGCTCGGCGCGTGCGACGCAAGACCTCATGTGGGGAAGCAGCTTGCACGGTCGGTGAGGGCCGTGCGGGAGGGGACGGTGAGCGCGTGAGGGGACGTGCCAGAGACTGAGCAGCCCTGGACCAGCCTGCACACAGTGCACGCCCGGGCAAGGGGCAACCGGCGTGGCAAACTCCGCGTCCACGTCTGCTCGCACGGTGGTCGCGGCTCACGAGCGCGGACCAGGACGGCCGTTGGATACGTATGGGTGCGCGCAGCCGCTTGTTCGCTAACACAGCCGGTCGCGAGGCGTCGGTCGCACAGAAGGCGTGACGGCGGTGTGTTTGCGGACGGGACTCATAGAGCGCAGGCAGAGGCAAGTGGCTAGCGCGCAGATGCGTGCTGACCGTCACGACCACAGGGCTTCGCTTGCCGACTCAAGGACGTCTACGGACCGAGGGCGAGTCCGTGACGATACGGGGATGGGCCGCAGGTGCTCTCATGACACACAATTGCACGAAGGTACGTGCGCTGTTGCATCCGCTTGCCATCGAGTGACATGGACATCGACGTGCGGCCGCCTCCTCGCTTACGCTTACGCGGGGCGCGGACGTTGCTATACCGACCCAGTGCTCGCACAACGAACACACGTCCGGTCCCCACGCCGGGACAGTACGGCACCCGAGATTACGGCACCCGAGACCGATCTCCTCGCCGTCACCGGACGTTGAGGGCTCCATGTGCCGAGTGAGTGCACAGGACGAGGTCGGTTCTCAAGGAGACGAGCCAGTCTGCCGTCCACCGAGCCAGGCGAGCAACTTCCACCCACCGGGAGCTCACGGGGCACGCATGGCTGGGACGGGCGAGGCCCGACATGGACATGCCGGTCTGCCCTGTGTTACGCAACGACCGCGGGCGGGACAGGCCGAGCATGACGGCCCGGGGTTTGCTCTGTCCGCTGTCCGGAGCGTCGCCGTGCGCAGCGCGCTGTCAGCTCTGCTTCAACAGTAAGCCGGTGACGACGCGCCTGTGCACGCCGCCGGCTGAGTGTGGTCTGTCGACGTGGACTACTGCTACTGCTATGTAGATGGACGTATCCCCGGACGAATATATCTGTTGAGTGCAGATGTGAGTGGTAGCGGACGTGACGAAGCTGAAGAACTCGCTGCGAGCAGAGTCGAACGCGGGACGGACTCTGACGGGCAGGACGTTAGGGACGCAGGCATATGACAACAGTGGAACGCATGGACGTACCTTCCAAGTCCGCCGTTTGAGACTGGCTAGTGTTCTGTCGAGAGCTGGGAGGGCATGGTGAGTCGTCGGAATCGCGCATGCCTTACTTCTGATGTGACGCACCTAGCCAGCTTGTACTTGGTTCGACGGATACTCGTCAGTGACCAGTCGGTGGATGCCAATGAGTGATAGCGTACCTAACGAGTCGGTGGTCTCCGGACTCTGGCAGGGCTGTAGTTCGACAGGATCACGTATGCCGTGCGATCATCCTGGTGAGAGGTTCATTGAGCTACATAGACCACGGTGGACGAATGGCACTGACTTACTATCCCGTTGACAGGATGCCTCCTTGGTTCGAATGCAAGTCTGGTGCAGGAATCGTTAGCGCAGCCCGAGACTCGAGGACACTGGCGACCGCCTACAGCGGTCCTGCTGCCTGACGATCGACTTCTGCGTAGCGACCGTGCCCATCCCGGGCCGAGCCCCATCGTGCAGCTCAGCCCATCTCACGATAGCCGATTGGTTCATCGGACCCCGCCGAGTCGCAATTCAAAGGCACGGCGCTCCGGACGCAGCAAGACATCATCAAGATGTTGCAAATTGCACAGTAGTGCCACGTCCGAGATTCCCGTTCGGTGCGCTTCCGAATGTCGTCAGCTGCAAGCCCACGGCAGACGACGAGTCGCGTATTCGATACAACACGACGACCAGTGGACAGCGGCATCGTCTACTACCCGCAACACGACTGGACCGACGACACTGCGCATGATTTTTGCAGACCAGTCCTGCATGCGTCTGGCGGTCTCTGGCAGCGGCGCGTCCCCATGTATCAATCAAGGGACAGGCACATGAGGCCCAGAACACCGACCTCCGATCGTGTGCAACGAGCCACACCAGTACCGCAACGCTGGTCCGGGCTCTCGCACACGTCACGGCGATCGGGATGACCGGTAGTCTCGGATGCCCTGTCTCCTCTAGCGAAGGATACACCCACTACGTACGGTAAGTACTGGTGTATAGTATGGTGTATTGTGCGTGAAGCACGTATATTCCAATTCGTATTGAAGAGACCGTCAGCTTGTCGATTGACCGAGTTGGCAAGAGAAGTGGCGACGTACCAGTTCGTCTTACGTGGGGTAAGTAGCATTGTTATTGGGAATGGAAGAGCGGAATCAGGATTAGAGAACAAATCCACAGCCCGAGAACAACGTACCGCACGTGAATATCAGGTAGGCAGGCTGCGGAGTACGCGGAGGACACCGTGACTGCGCGCACACGACCTCGGTAACAACGGAATACGGGTGTACCTTACGGGTCCGCCGTTTGACACCGGCTATCGCGTCGAGCTGGACAGGCATTGGTTAGTCGTCGGGATCGTGCATACTCTGCTTCTGATATGACACACCCAGTCAGCTTGCCTCCGGTTCGACGGATATCCGATAGTAACGAGTTGGTGGTTTCTCGACTCGAATCGGGCTGCGTTTCTATGACATTGTGTTCGCCGTGCGATCAACAGACTGGTGTGCCAGTGAGAGGTTCAGATTGAGTTCGACGACAAAGAGTGAACGACGATGACTTACAGTTGCATTGATGGGATGTTCGTAGTCGACACCTTCATGATTAGCAACGGAATCGAATGTCAGCCTTAGCCTGGCGATCTGAGCAATTGTAGTTTAGTATCGGGATCACATGTATCTGTTCAGAACATAAGAAACTCACCGAACTGTATGATCAGTAGTGGCCAATAATTGTGACGGAAGTGTACACTTACGCCACGAGCACCTGACAGTGATGCAAGATTCATCGCTCTGATTATAGCGTTACCGTGCTCTACAGGGCAGTTTCAGTGAATGTGTTAGTTGACTTTCGCGGACAGAATAACCCACCGTTCCGCGAAGCACCTGGCTGCTATCCGGGGCTGGCAAAAACTATCAGAACTCGTGTACGTCAATTCACTCCCAGAAGCAGAGTCAACACTGTCGTGCACTTACCTTCCGGGAGCGCAGCAATTGCCTGTCAAAGCGTCAGAGCATTGAATAGGAGTGGATCAAAGCAATAGACGACTGTTGGTCGAGTTGCTGCGAGGGATGGGGTCTACGCCACAAGTGGCCTGTCTTATATACCCTGGATAGAGACCAAGCCGCGCGTGCGATGGTCCGTGCGCGTGAGTCAACCTTCCGGTGATGTGCTGTCATCCCGACTCCCATCAAATTGCTACCGCTTAACGATCCGCCGCTTCCCACTCGTCGTGTCCAATAGCAATGAAGGCGGGCTGCACTTACCGGGTACAGTGGTAAGCCATTTCCGAATCACCGGGAGAATTCCCGTCTTCCCAGGTTGCGAGGTTCCTGCTTGACACATGTTTGCTATGATTGGCGCTTGTACAGCGAAACCGGTGATGCGATATTCTCTCGCAGCTGCGATCCGTAAGTGTCTTCGTGGCGAGCTCCCAGCACTGGCAGGGTCATCTCATCGGGAGAATTGACACTGCACGCGGGCGAGAATTCATTTGAGAAAGATATGCAAAAGAGGTATCACATATCCTAGAGAACTTTTATGTACCACCAGGTGAGACAAGTCATAGGATGAGAAGGAGAGCCAAACATGAACGGCGTAAAACAGGCGCCCACAGCCACAGCGGTTGAGAGCCTCGTGTCTTCAGATCGTGCTCGAGCGATCTCAATCCCTTGGGCCTTCAAGCACCGGCGGCTCTTGCCCCGCCTCTGTGACCGTTGTCCATGCTTCTCACAAACACACTAAGAAATCTACAAGTGCAGGAACTGGGACTCATCTGCGGCTGTCCTTGGGCACTCAAGCACCAACAATAACCTTCCACTACCACTCGACTCAATCGCGACGACTCCGAGTTAGCGCTGACGCCTGCTACACTCGCAAACAATGACGGCGGTGTCTGAATGGTAAGGTCGTGGTCAGATCAGCATGCATTGCTGGTCAGCTAGGCGAGGACATTGGAGTAAGTACCGTGTTGCCGGTGCCTTCGTGACAAATACTCTAGACTCTAGAACATCCGGTAGGGTCCGAGTCGGGCAACCGTCGAGAGCACAAGAGCCAGGATCAACTTGTGCACTCGTGTGTTCGGCGGTATCCAAGGCGGGTAATCTTGTACATCAATCAAAGACCGGTGTCACACCTTGGGCAAGCCCGAGGAGATGTTACCTAGTAAAGTACTCAGTGACGAAGCTCCCTCAGGATGCTGTCTCATACAAACTGGCACTTGTTCTGTCAGTGTGACACGATGGTCAACGGGGCTACTATCCTAACTGAGGCTTCAGGAAATGAGTTCAGGGAAGGGGAGACCACTGATTCCAAGTTACTGGACCGAAGCCTGTGCTAATCTTGGTTCCAAGCGAACGGGATATGGTAGGTTGCCGGGCCAGTCCGGCGGGTAGCATAGAGAAGCATCACTGATCGGACACAAGCTGATTGGGAAGTGGTCAGAGTCACGTTCCGAGTCTTTCGCTGTTGCCCCAAAAGGTTGTTTGCTTGTGAATCTCACTCAGGACGTCACCCAGCAGCCTGCTACATCAGGATATACATCAGTAAGTGGCTACCAATCATCTCATGGGGAACTCTTGAATATGATTTTGAAACCACAAGGATTTGAGCAGAAGACAGGCTCAGAACTGCGTGAGAACACGGCAGATGAGTAGGGTCACAGGTGAGGTGAAACATGCCGAAATCAATGGAACCTTCGCCGAAAGCATCAGCACCGCTGTGGGTTGCTACGCACCGGTGTGGAAGATGCAGATTGGTTAGTCAGGAATATAGTGTTTGCGTGGCCTCCATTCCCGTTCACCGACGCAGACTCGGAGCTCCCTACCTGCAAACTCGACTCCGTAGTAAGCAACAGATTGGACAGACAGGATTGCAGGCAAGTCTGAGTATTTTCCGAGCTTTGCTGACCATTTGCTTACCTGATAATACTTGCAGCTCGGCGGACGACCTCAACATGGATACCAGGCCACAAGAGGTACACACGAGACGAGTGAGGCAACAGGTCAGTAAGAAATGACCATTCATTGTCACGAAGAAAGCGTACTCACTGTCTCCGGTCAGCGAAGATGGCACTGCTGCAGCTTGACTATGCATTGCATCTGCGCAACATCAAGGCAATGTTACGCTCGACGGGACTCTATGGGCCGAGAAGTATGGGTGGAAGTGAGCCGTGAATGATCCTACGGCATGTATTAAGTAGACAAAGAGGTGAGCATTCTCGTCCAGAACCACCGACATACCTGCTTACCGATTTAGCAATGGTGCCGCCTACAGTTCGAGCGACGACGAGTGTTTCCACACTCGGTCACTGGCGCTCAAACGTGTGCCAGTTTGATCGAGTCGCATGTACTTGGACAGTGGCCGGTGAGGGCCGCGAGGTCGTCGGAGGACTGGACAGCAAAAGCGATTGTAGTCTACAAAGTTATCGAACAGCCCGGCAGACGAGTAGGGTTGTCAGTGAGTCACATTGTCTGACTCTTCAAACTGACCACTCACTTTTGTCATATAAGAGCAGCGAAGACCGTCACGCGATGTTCGATTGTGGGTGCACGGAAATGTGTTGCTCTCAGGGGCAGTCATTCGGTGCTCCCAATCCGAAGACGGAACCTCTCCCGCCCCGCGCCTCTGCTGCCGTGCCCGCCGTCGCTCAAGCCATGGTCTCGAACATCGGACATCTAGCTCACCCCTTCGTGCCCTCCTTGACTGTCGCGGCTCGGGACGGGCGTCTCCTCTTCCTACCAACCACCCCTCCTCAACGTCGTATGCGTCGTGCTCAACTTCACTGCCAATGCAGAAGACGGCCCATTTCCGACACTGTAATATCACCTATGTCAGCCTTCTCCTGTCACCTCACCTCTTGTTCCCGGTCACATCTCACCTCTACCTCGCACGTCGGCAGCCCCGGAGTCTGTCTACACGAGTCTCGTGAAGGTGTCTGCTCCCCTGCTGACGTGGAACGTACCTAGGCACATATCTAGCGACAATTGCGGTCCTCGACACCTTTGCCGTGCACCCAGTCTCCATCCGTCGACCACCTGTCTTCTACGACAATCGCATGTGGACGCACACACGGCGTGTGTTGTACTGGCCGCGTCCACCTCGTCAGTCTGGATGTCGCGGGATTGAGGCAGCAACCGGGACCTCTAGCCCGGTGTCCGACACTGTCATATCACTGGTGACAGCGCGTCACTACCTTCCATTAGCCCTCTCCCGTTCACAAACGCGTACCGGCACCATCTCGTCGACCAGCTACCTCGGAGGGCGTCTATCGCGACATCCCGAGTCACACAGGGATGTCTGCTCCCTTGCCGACGCCGGTCACGCAGCTGGCGACGTGGACACACGACGTACCCGCCTATCTTCGCGGTGCAGTCGTTGGGCGTCCGTGTGCCGACTCTGTAGCATAGCCCGAATCACGAGCTGGTGATCTATGTGTCCAGCTCGCTTTCGACAGATCGCGCCCCGAGCCCGGACTCCTGTCCGCTGCACAGCCGTCCCGTACCTCCGGTCAGCCACCGACGTGTTGGTGTTGATCTTCCACCCTCGCACGAGTCCGACGTTGCGGCTGCGCCCTCGCAACAACCGGTCTACACGGCTCGTCCCCCGAGACCGTACGCGTGAGAGGACGTACGGAGCGGCCGGGAACTTCGTCCAGCCAGACCGGAAGGAGCTGCTGAACACATCTCCGCGTGCTGCGTAGTCTCGCGCTGCGTACGTTCCCCGACACTGTAATGTGGTCAATGCGGGCCACTCGTGTGTGCGACGTCCTCAAACTCACGTTTCCCGGTGTTGAATCTCACTCCGCCGGTCGGTGGACCCCCTCAAGCGCAGCTGACGAAGATACCACTCTGGTCGTCGGCGTAGAGTCCTGGGATCTCGTGGTTAGTTTCTGCGCGTCCGATGATATGGTAAGTGCGTATCTCGATGGTTGCGTGAGGGCTTGACTTACTGGCTGTCCAGAAACCCTTGAGAGCGGGGACGGCGGTCTCCTTGTGGCTACTCTCCGAGCCCAGTCGACAGAAGGCTTGGGGCAGGCAACTCCGGTACGCGTTAATCGAGCCGACGCGCACGTCAAGTCTCACGCCCAGGCCCCAGACCCGACTTTGTTGCTCCAGAGAATCGCGGTCGACCTACACCGGCGGCGGGCGAACGCGGGAGTGATCACAGGCCCGGAGCGTACGGTGAGTACAAAGCACGCGTGATGTTCCATGCTGCTTGCTGACAGTATGCAAGTCAGTTTGCCGGTCGGGACTGGAGCTTCATGGTAGGCCCGCGGACGTCGCGCTCTGACGAGGGACGGCGACACAAAGGGTACTAACGCGACAGGCGCATAGGCTCGCAGGTGAGTAACATGGCTCGGAAGTCACATATGGGTGTACTCACCTAGTGCAAGGAAACAGTGAGCTCGGCTCGGTCTGTGTACCGGCAGATGGCCTCGCAGGGACTGCGCTCGGTAGACGACCCGAGTTTCGTGTGGGCAAGGGTAATTTGGTGAGTCCTGTCAATGCTGCCGACGAACGCGGCAGACGAGTAGGCTGCCGGTACTTATCTCGTCTGTTTCGCGATTACTCGCAGACGTCGGGACAAGGCACCCGTGGAAGTCCTGTACACAGCGTCGGTCGGCGAGGTGGAGTTGCGACCGCCGAAGTTCGGCGGTGGCAAAGACAGCGGCGAGCATCGTGATCTGATCGAGATCGACTCCGAGGGCGAATATAGAGTGTGGCTGAGACTTGTGGAAGCGGACGGACAGGGGTAGCTGAAAATCGATGTCATTTCTCTCCGAATCCGTTAGAATACAATGAGAGCTGTATCCTACGGCCCGTGTGCCCTGCTGGAAGTGCGCCCAATGTGTCCAGGACGAGTCCAGCGCCCTACACCTAGGACGAGTGCACGACGGCATTTATACCCTAGGACGAGTCCAACGCGTCATCTATACCCTAGGATGTGCACAGACTCACGAATTATTGACGGTCCATCTCCGTCTCCCCATTCGCCCGCTAAGCCCCGTCGCAACGCGGTCTCGGCGCCAGCTCCCGGCAAGCGCCCCCGTCCTTCCTTGCCACATCCATCTCTCCCGCTGCCACGTCCTCTGCTTACCTGCTGCACTACCTTCAGCCCTGAACGCATTCCACGTCCTTCCGAAGTCCATGGCCGCTCCCGCGCACGCAGAGGCACCTCTCCCGGGCGCGCGTTTCCCTGCTCCAGCCGCTGCACCAGCGCCGCTCCCGCGCACGCAGCGCCGCCATCTCCCGACGCACGTCCCACACCTCGCGCATCAGCGTACCCACGTCCGACGCCGTCGTGCTGATGCTGGACATGCTCGTCGCCGAGCTCCTGGCCGAGAACATCGACGACGCAGAGGACCCGTGGCTCGCGCGCGAGGGCGACGGACTGAGCGGGAGCTCTTCGCAAACGCGTACGAGGCGCTGGGAGGAGGGAAGAGGCCGCGTCGAGGAGACTCCTGCGACGGTCCTTCAGGGCTGGAGGACTGCTGTGCAGGATAGCGTCGTGGCTCTCCTCCTCGACCTTGGGGACTACGAAGCCTTGTGGCCGTGCGGACGTTGTCCGTTAGCGGTGGCCGCAGGCAACTCTGTAGTTTTCGAAGGGACGCGAACCCCACGCCGGATGCTGGGGCACTGAACGCTGCGGTACCCGGACGCAGGCCTGTCGACGAAGGTGTTTCCTTGGGAGCGGCGGAACGTTCATCTGTGGAGCTGTCAGCCTCGCCGTGGAACCTGGAACGAAGTGATTTGTGTGGTCTTGACTAGGTGCTCAGCCACAGACCTATTCAGAGAATAGGCACGGAACCTACACTGGTGTGACGGTGCCATTGGTCGCGCCAGCGGCGAACTCGCATGTCTCGCGAGGAGCGTCGACTTGGGCGCGGTGGGGGCCTTGCCGGGGCCTGGGGCAGGCACATCGCGTGTGTGCGCAGATGCCTTTTTCTGTCTTTTATAAGCGAAGGGCGCGGAGGCGACCGTCCGCGATCCGCTAGCAGACCAGCCATGAGCGACGCGCCTCGTACACGCGACGTCCCGACCCACCCGTCATGTAGTTCGATCCTCCCACTGACGAAGGGGACGGTGTGAAGCGTAGGATGCTGTGATGTAGCGTACGACAGCTCACATGAACAGATCCGGAAACGACCTCGTGGATCTGCGAATGTCTTGGAAGGCAGCGATGAGCTGCCGGTGCAACGACTGTGGGTCTGATCAGAGTCGGAGACATACCTAGAGCGAAACAAACACACGCTGCCATCCGCCGCGTCCCAATTGCACAGGACAAATCCTGTGCGCCACGACTTGAAGACACATTCGTGTGGCATCGGCAGCCCCAACGTCCGCAAGTCGTCTCCAAGAAAGCCCGCTAGGTACCGTTCCGCGTCCTCTTGGTATATATTGAACAGACGAGCCTTGTCCGCTCTATACTGAATGAGCATCGTGACCGCCATCGCGAGTGCAGGTATCAGTGGAATCGAGGAGGAAGGAGGAGCAGGAAGAGCGGGAAGAGCAGGAAGAGGACAACCCCTTGCAAGAGGATGTAAGTTGGATGTAAGTTGCGCATTAGGCCACGGCAAATCCCGCGATCGAGATTGAAATAAAATAATGCGCATGCCCGTGCCACGGATACTCTGTCGTCGATATCCGGAGGCACGGTGCACGAAGGTTGAAGGGATTGTCTACGTCTGCCTGGGGAGACTACCTCTGTCAAGCTCTGCGAACTACCCAAGAGTCAGGACCCTCGAGCTCGTTCACCGGACGGCCCAGGTATGGAACAGAAGCGGTATGTATCGTGTCACGGGCGACTCCCCACTAGTGGCGACGCACCTTGGGCGACCTCTGTTAGCTCTGCACGACGCCCAGAGGAGGTCAGATCCAGACGTTCGCATGACGATGTCACGACACACCGAGAGAGCCTGAGTACGCACCAGGATCGACTCCGATTCATGCGTGACCCCCGAGTTGCCCCCGAGTCCCCTCTCGTTCTCACATCAGGTGCGTCTTCTAGTTTGTTGGGTGGATGGTCGCACAGACACAGTCGTGATGCGTGCACACTCTTGCCATCGTGCTTAGGGGTGAGTCCAGAGGCCTTCCGGGCTGACATTCATTCTCACCGGTGTGCGTGCTGTTCCAGCGACCAGCGAGCGGAGATTTCGTCAGGCATTTGTGGGTCGGGGAGCAACATAGCGTTTGCGTCGGGAATGGGCGCGACCTCTGGCTTTGCGCAATCCGAGTCCCAGGCGTTTTCCGATGGCGACAGGGCGTACGTCTTGGTTATACCGTGCGCGTGGCTATATCTGCACCAGACCTCTTGATATGCTGGCTCGCCGCGCCGGCCTTGGACGCTTTGGACATGGCATAGGAAACTACGCTTCTCTTCACTTTTGCGGCGGCAGGAAACGAGCGAACCCCGCGCTTCAAACAGCAGATGTCACGCCTTCGTCTTGTTATTGTGTCAACAGCAGTCCCAAACGACGTCGACTGCAGTTGCACTTGCCCGTCTTGTAGCCGACGGACTCAGAAACCTTGCTTCTGCACCGCCGGCGCTGCTGGTGGCAGACCGAGAGTCGTGTTCAAAAATTTCAACCGTCGCACGTGCATGTTCGACTCCTTCACACTCTGCCCACGTCTCCTTGTCCGTGCACGTACCTGTCGTCCACGTCAACTCCCATGACGGCACCACTCACATTCACTGTGAAGGATCATCCCGATTTTCGGTGTCGTTTGGCCAGGTGTCATCCTCCCTCCAAATCAGGCCTCCAAAACGCGAAAATGTTCGCAATACACGCCTCCCTGTTGCATCCGACGGATAGCGCAACTGTACGGATCGCGCAACGGTGTGTACAGCGGCACGCTTGGGCAGCACAGTGAGGCCTGGGGAGTCGCTCCCCTGGAGTACTACAGAGGATCAACTCCCTGCTACGAGCAGTAATTTTTGATTTTCCGTCTGCGCCCACTGGTGTGGGCGTCTGTGTATGATCGTCGCTGCGTGGCGCGTCGGGTTGCGATTCTGCGAACTGTCCTCGATCGAAGATCCGGGTGTACTGGCCCGTTCATCAACTGACAAGCAGCAGGACGTGCTGCCTTTCGTGAAGGTACGGCGCCACAAATGATCGATGCAGTTCGACGACACGGACACATCACACATCGTCGCCAGGTGCCAGATCGTGGTGTCGCTGATGGACGTGTAACTCGCAGTCACCACGTGCGTCGCTCCGTATGGGTTCGAACGCACTCGCATCGCAAGTTCAACTTCTACTATCTTCTCCCCGCTTGCGGTTATAGGTCAAGCAATTCCTTATCGACAGCAGGCTGTCACATACTACTACTTCAGCATACACAAACGACCATCTTCAACATGGAGCACTACATTCTAGACATTCATTACACCGGGAAGAAGGCGAACTTGGCTACTGCGCACAGACGGGCTACCGGATCTCTCGAGCAGTTTATCGAGGACGACCTTCTGGGCCTTGGGTTTCCCGCCACGTTCGAGCCCACCGTCACAAGTCTCTGGCAAGGCTCTGTACCGGTGGTACGATGCACGTGGAACGTCGAGCGTCGTGACGCCGAACCGGATGCTGCGGTACGACACCGTGTTCTAGAGCTGTTGGGGCGATCCTGATTCTTCGTCTGCACTCGCAGCGCCAAGTGGTGGAGGAGATCCTTGCCATCAAGAGCCAAGCACGTACGAAGAAACAGCGCAAGGCGTTCAACCGCAAACTGACCGAAATGCACATGTGAGTACGCCCCCAGTACTATCCTACAAAGTTGCGTGCGACTCAGCTTGTCGGGGACTGCCCAGCGCACATGTCAATGTTGAGATCCGGTGCGTTCTGTCGTTGCTCCCAACGTGGTCGCGTCGACTCATTGGACTCGCAGGGAGGTGGAACCAGCTGCGCGAGATCTCCCCGACCCAGCGGCGCAGAACCGTCCCCTCGTCCCCGCTCTGCAGGACGGCCCAGAACCCGCTCCGCAGAACCACCGAGCATCCGCTCTGCAGAACCGCCCGGCCTCCGCCCTGCAGGACCACTCAGTCCCAGCTCCGCCGGGTCCTACTGAAGTGACGAAGCGAGCACGCTCACCATCCGAGGGTGGCAACGCCGGTCCTGACAGCAAGCGTCCTCGGCAGCAGGCACCCGCGACTGGTGCCCAGGTGCCGTTTCACTCCGCGGCGCGGGATCTACAGGGCGTGCAAGTCCAGCAGTCTCAGCCTTCTGGTGGTCCGAACAGGCCCCCGAGCCAATTCGTACGCCCGCCGATGCCGCCGAGATTCCATTCGTGGGACAACCGCAAGCGCACTCAGGCCTTGCCGCCGCAACTGCATCCGCGAGGGGTCCGATTCAATGGCCCCAGGTTCATCAATAACGCACCTTGGGCGGTTCGACACGATACTACTGGGGGACTTCGCATCGATGCTGGCGCTTCAGGGTCTCTGCCTGCTATTCATGAAGTCGCTGCGCCATATCCGAACGTCGCGCCCGGCTTCAACCCGAACGGTGGTCAGCACTTCGCTCAACCTGAACCTCCACATGCTCCTAGGGTCGCCAACATGCTTCGCTTCCAGCGGATTCCCCCACGCTTTGCTCAGGCTGCCTCGGGATCGGGTTGGGCCTCGACTGCTCAGACTGGTGCTGCTCAGACTGCTCAGACTGTGACGGCCAATGCTACTCCTGCTCAGACTGCTCGTACTGCTGGGAATTCTAAATCTGGGGCAGCTCGATCTACCACTCGTACTGCACTCTCGGAGGCCTCTAACGCTGCATCCTCCCGGGCCGCTGCGAGCGAAGTGACAGTGAAACAAGAAGCCACGGACGACTCTCGGGCTCTCAGAGTCGCCGGTGCCCTCGCCGCGAAGGAGAACCTGCCGCCACCCCGCTCTGGGACTGAGGCCGACTCGGGTGCCCGCAACGGGGTCACGACAGGACTGGGAGATGCTTTCAGTAGTGCTATGGCCGCCATGGTCGCTGCAGCAGAGGCGCGCATAGACGAACTCGAAGGGAGGGCCCACCAGGATGAGGCGGCGCGCACGACGGAGCGGGAAGAGCGCCTCGCTCGGCGCGAGGCCGAGTTCGCAGCGAGGCAAGCGGCGTCCCTCCAGCGGGAGAACGGTCAGGCTTCTCTCTTTGGGGCGATCCTACTAGTCCTGTCGCTGATCCTTGACTCTGATACGCAGGTATGGCGGCGGAGCTCGCGCGGATGAAGGCGATGTGGACGCGCGCTCAGGGCCAGTTGTTGGACGCGAGGACGCAGGTCACGGACTCACGGAGCGACCTGGAGGAGACGCGGGCCCATCTGGCGGAGACGCAGAACAACCTGGCTCACGCACGGACCCAGCTGACAGATGCAGGGACCCGGCTGACAGGCACACTGACCCAGCTAGCGCACGAACGGAGGCGATTGACAGACGCACGGACCCAGCTCGCAGATACGCAGACACAGCTGGCTGACACACAGGCCCAGCTCGCAGATGTAAAGGCGCAGGATGTACTGGTGCAGGCGCGCCTTACCGGGGTGACCACAGAAACGGAGCTGCTTGCGCAGGAGGTAGCCGCGCTTCGAGCGGACCTTGCGCGGGAGCGGGAGAACCACGACGCCGAACAGCGAGTTGCGCAGGACACGATTGCTGGTGAGTTTGTCTGCAGAGTCGGCGAAGATCTGTCCTGACTTCCGTTAGTGCTGCGAGCGGATGCAGCGCGGCTGGAGCTTGAGGCAGCCCAAACTGCCACTGGTGAGCACGTATTCATGTTTCCGAGAGGTGCTGCTGATACGGCGTACTACTGGCGGCGGAGGCTCTCCGTCAATCGGAGCTCAAGCTGAGGTTGATAATCGACTGCTCGTGGAGCTTAAGCTGGAGCTTGAGGTCGACAGACGACTGCTCGTGGAGAGAAACGCGCAGGGTGAGTGAGCACACGATCCCTCGTGCTTTCGTGTATGCTGATGCGCCCGGCGACTGGCGGGTAGCGCTGGGCAAGACATTCGTCCGGACAAAGTTGGATCTGCTCGCCGAAGGATCTTGTAAGTCGTTCTAGGCGACGCGGCCGCCCCACTGGAGTGCTGACGACGGACGGACCCGGATAGCCCTCCGCGAGCAGGTCGAGGCGCTCACGCAGCGGCTAGAGGACAAGCGCGCTGCGCTCGGCGGGCGCACGGAAGGAGAGCCATGCTCCGCGCTGGCCGCCGGCGCGCACGAGACCCTCGGTGCGTTATCCCGTCATGTCGTTCGCGGGCGTGATGACCCACTCATCATTGTCCCTTGTACGCAGCCGGGGGTCAAGGCGCGCACTCGCGCGGCAGATGGATGGGGTACTATTACGACCACTGCTGAGCAGCGTCGTGTGTGGACGCTGTCAGGCAGTGGGCCGTTGATAGGATTCATAGGCCATGAGTCATAGTGCACAATCTAGCCAAACACAAACTACTACTCTCACCATCCTTTAGACACTCCGCGTCGTCTTCCTGTAATCCGTAGCCAGCGCATCAGCGACTCGGTTCGTGTCAGACCCGATACAGATGCCACGTTCTGCAGCAGCGCTCGAGCCACCGGGGACGTATCTTCCTTTCTTCGCATAGGTTTAAGACTCGTGCAGCTAGTATCACGGGCAGGACGAGACATCTCTCCCCCATCGCCAGTTGCGGCCGCTGTCTCGGGCCATCCGGACGTTGTCGCTCTGGTGGGCCCGCAAACTACCACTGACACTGGTCGCCCGCATTTGTCGGGGCGAGCCAGCTGAGTAAATCTCGCTATGAAACAATACGACGCAATACGGCTCCTGGTCTTGAGCCTCAGTAGATTGCGTTCTTGTATGCAGTAGACTGAAAGTCACGCGTGCGCAGGTCGCCCCTGACGAGTCTCTCAAACGTCCGTGGCGGCCTGCCGCCTACAGAAGACGGCCAGCTGAGCTTTCACCCCAGCGTACTGGATGTCCAGGACGCAGTGCCTCATGGTGTTCAGCCTTGAGGGGTGCACGCGACAGCCCGCCGTCGAGAGAACCGGAGCGAGGGAGGCGGTCTGAGCGCGCACGCTGACAGTGTTGCCGTCGCGGTCGCGACGCGTGTAGTGCCACCGAGGCTCGAAGAACGGACATCCCGCGCTCGGCGTCCCCGAGTCGAGCCGCGGTTCCGCGTCGAAGCCCGAAAGCTGCAGCGCGGCGGGTGGGCGCACGGGCACCGCGTCATCCTGGGCCGCGAGTCGCAGAGCTCCGTCGGCCTGCCGTCCATCCGTGCCCAGCGCGCGGAGGTCGGGTGTAGTAAGACGCACGGCGCGTCTCGGATCCGAAGTCGAACGACATCCCGACGTTCACCTCGGAAGTGGGAGCGGCGGCTCTGATGGCAGGAGCAGGGCGGCTGTGAGGTGCGGCATCCCCGGGCGGTACGTGAAGCAGAGGGGAGAACTGCCAGAAACTACCACCGCCAACAGACGGCCGCGCATGCGACCGCAGAGTGGCTTCGTCAAGCGTCGAGCTGGACGCAGCGGAACGTTGGCTGCCCGGGCTGACATGAACGAGAGGAGATCTAGCCGAGCGCAGACTGACCCAGTCGTCACCCGAGTCAAGGATGCTCCCCGACTCGTCCGGAGCGTCCGCGTTCCCCGAGTCGCCGATGTCCCGCGGATCCGCATGGAGATCGCTCTCGTGCGTAGCTCCTTGTGATCCCCATCCAGCGCGCTTTCCGATGTGGGATGGTCCCCAGCCTCGATTGAGTACAGGAGCGGACCGCTTAGTGTTCAGCTGAGAGCTACGGAAGGCATGGCGGGTGTAACGTCCCAACACGGCGTCGTCAGCAGTGCCACTAGTGAGCGTGAGGTGGTGTTTCGCCCTTGCAAGTGCCGTGTCGCATGAAAGAAATTTTGATTTTTAGCAGATAATGCTGAAGCCGACGGAACCGACGGTGCGGGCGGACTCGAACGGAATGGAGCGGAAGATGGACTCTCTGCCTCTGCGATGCTGTCAGTCTCCGTGAGCGATCACCAAATAACGTCGGCTCACATCCGCGTACGTGGTCGCTGAAAGCTATCCAGGTCTTTGCCTCTCCCCGACGAGGACGTCGCGCTTGCATCTGGCAGTGCCGTGCATCGTGACGCGTTCCACTTTCTCTCGGCCCGAATCTCAGCGGCGACTGCTTGCTGCGGAAGCGACCAACAAAAACAGAGGCGCGCGCATATACATTAGCAGTGAAGAGGAGTCTCCGCTATAGTAGAGCAGGACGCACATGATGCTCCCCTCAATCCGAACCCATCGCACGTCCCTCCTGCGCATCGACCAGGCCCCAGGTGTTGGGAGGGAGGAGGCCCAGCTGTCCGACGACCGGCGAGAAAGGCTAGCACGCCACGACGTCCACCGTCTGTCATCGATGTTGTGCGCCGTGTGAGACTGCAGGTGTGCGCCCGACAACAGCATCGTAGGGAAGCGGGCACATGTCCACTGACGGGAACGGAAACGGTCTTCGAGTGGCCTGCAATAACTCCGGCCTTTGTCTGCGAACCAGAGAAGCTAAAGTCTTGTAACGATCCAATCTCGGCGTATGTACGAAAATGATCCCGCATGGGCCGCCGGGCGCCTGATCTTTGACTCCGCGAGCCGGTCCGCGATCTCCGAGATCCCCTGAAGCGGGTTCAATGTGAAGATGTGCTTCCGCGGCTGTCGCGAGCTGCTAGCACCGAAATCTGCCCAAAGCACTCCTCTCCGTGTCTCTCTGAGTGAGCCATGCTGCGGCTTTGTCTGAGACTCTGTGAATATCTGGGCAATATGCGACTACGGCACTCGCAACTCCCAGGAATATGAATCGAAGACACGAAGGCAGGTCGGCTCAAGTCAAGTTCGCAGGTACGTCGTCGTCGTCTGCTTGCCTGTGCCACCATCAGTTGCGAGGGCGTCGTCAGTACGTCGCCAGTTTTGACTGCCACGAAGGGCGTGAGCGGGTCCTCGGGTGCCCTTCCGCGACATGCAGTGGACGATGCCCGGGGGATGACAGGCTTTCGTTGCGTCGCCGTAGACGGCTGTTCCGGAAATCGGGATGCGTCGACGTCGATTGTGACACGCACTGTATGGCGCCACTACGCCGTTCAAAGCAGCTTGACGCGTCGATCCGGATGCCTCCGCCTCCTCGATCCCTCTGGCAGAATTAATGGCGCTCCAGCCCGGCTGTCCCTCCGAGTCGGTCGCGTCCCGTTGGGCTCCTCCCCTCGCCCGACTTGCACGCTCGGCGACATCTCCCTGGGGACGCCGAGATACTCGTGGTACGTGTTCTGCTGGATCATGCGACGTAGCGTAGTGGTCAGCGAAGGGCGGCTCCTGGGCACCGAGTGCGGCCTGGAGAATGGGTCTCCTGAAGTGCGCCAGGGGATCGATTCTCCGCTGCCCCATGACCAGACCTCACTTTTTTCTGCCTGCGTATCCGGAGTGCAAGTGCTGTCACGCTCGATGCGGTCGGCGACGGCAGCAACGGAGCTCCAGCGCCGACAGGTGTCAGGTTCTCATTGCATCGCGCGGTGTCCGTTGCAGCGACATCATATGCTCACTGTCCCTGTCACGCCGCTCTCCTCTGTTGTGACAGGAGTTGGGCTCGGCTGTCCCGACACGGTTCACATTCCGAGGCACCGTCGGCGTGCGCGTGGAGCATCCTGACTGCCACCCTCCAATCCGCCACCGAAGAAGAGAACACGGTCGCGGTGCGCGGTGTCCTTTCGGCAGTGTCAATCGCGTCGAAGTTCACGCGTCTCTTCTTGGTTCGGTTCGCTCCAAAGCATCTGGGACTTCGCTTGCGTCACAAGCCTCGAGCTGTCAGTCGCCCGAGTGGCCAAAGTCTGCGTTCACTACTGCCGTGCCCCGTCCCCCCAGAAATCGTGGATACGTTCGCGGTGCACCCCTCCCTGGAAAGTCGGCAGATAGTCAAATGGTCTGTTGCGGCCGTGTCCGATGGAACGCTTGGGCAGCTAGTGACGCCTGGGGAACTCTCCTGGAGCGCTACGGGATCGACTCCCCCCCATTGAGCGGTTACTTTTTGACTATCCGCGGCACGACCTGTCGACCGTCACTGGACCGTCTTGCCATAGCTCCCTGCCGCTGGTCTCCAGCTCTGACAGATCTCACAATCGAGTTGCTGTGACGGCGTCGGCGCGTATCGATACCGGGGGGGGGGGGGTGGAGTTGCGCGGACACGTCGTGAACTCCGTGGCATATCGCTTCTGTAGTTCGCGCCTGTTCGCGCTGGCATTGATTGGTTCCGTGCACACGCGCATGCGCTGCACCTGGTTGAATTCACTCTCCCACTCTTCGAGCCGCACTCAGTCGACCGCACACCCCATTCTCCTCTCGACAGCGGGCTGTCGCACACTCACTCACTGAACACTCACGACGGCAACCATGCATTCCAGAGAGTCTTCCAGCACGACGCTCACCGCCGAATCCTCGTAGGCCGTTCTCCTGCACTAATCACACCGCTCACGCAGCCTAAATCAACCCACAGGAGCGAACAACCAGCCCCCACGACCCCGGCTCAAACGCCAAAGCGCCCGCGCTCGCCTGTCGCGGGCGAGCCTGAGAGCAAGCGTCTCCGCCCCTCGTCCGGCGCACGAGCCAATGCAGGTGACCGCAGCGTGGTCAAGGCCGGCACTCGCTGCGCTGCACTCGCTGCAAGACACGCGCGGCTGGTGGAGCTCGGGCGCGAGCTGGAGGCCTGCCAGGAAGACATCACGCAGACGAACGAGCGGCTCGCTCGGTGCGAGGCCCAGTTATCTGAGACGGTGACGCCGCGCGGGGACGCAGACACCGAGCTGGCGGAGGCATGCGCACTGCTGGCGGACGTGCGGGCTCTGATCGGGGAGGGGCAGGTGCTGCTGGCCGGTATGACCGCGGAGCGGGACCGGCTCTCGCGGGAGGCAGCGACGGTTTGGGCGGAGCTTGTACAGGAGAGGACGAGAGAGGATAAAATACAGGCCCTGCATGACAAGAACGCTTGTGAGTTGATGCACGAAGGCAGCCTGGGTTTTGTCTGACTTCGTCCAGCGCTGCGGGTGGAATTGGAGAGGTTACGACAAGTCCGGGCAGCGCAGGCGGCCGCTGTTGGTAAGCATATCGGCATGGATCTCTGGAGCGGGTACTCATAAAGCCTCCTAGTGGCGGAGGAGGAACTGCACCAGTTGGAGCTCAAAACTCAAGCTGAGATCGACCGGCGACTGGTCGTGGAGCGGAACATCCAGAGTGAGCACGATCAATCATCCATACTCACATATGCTGACCACGAGCGATGAGCAGTCATGAGCGAGAAGTTCGCCCGGGAAATGTGGGATCTGATGGATGTCAGGCTTGGTAAGCTTCCCTAGGCGACGCGGTGTTTCTCAGCGATGTGCTGACAACGTAGCGGTGTCTAGCCCTTCAACGGCAGCTGGAGGAGCTTAAGCGGAAGCGGGAGGACGAGCGCGCTGCGAAGGCACAGGAGCAATGCCCCACCTTGGCAGATGCCCGGGGAGAGGCCTTCGGTGCGTCATTCAGGTTCCTTCGCGGGCGTGACGATCTATTCATTACGTGTCCCCTTTGCAGCTGGGAGTCAAGGGGCGTCCTCCGAGTCACGCGGCAGGATGCCAGGGTGTTAGCGCGACGGTTGCTGACCTGTAGCATCGCTGTGGACGTTGTCAGCCAGTGGGTCGTCGATGTGTTCAGTGCCCGATTGATATACGTTGTAATGCACGATGCAGCCACACACAGACTAATCTCACAGTCCTTTAGACACCTGACTATCATTTACTAGTAGAGTCGGATTAGACACGTTGTCCTGTACTATTGGTCCCTTCAAGCCTGATCAGACCTCAGAACTTCTTGCTGTGCGCATCACGGTGCGGGCACACGCCCACTGACGGAAACGGACACGTTCTTCGAGTTACCCGATAGCTCCCATTTATCCAGTTTTGTTAGTCTGCGAAACGGGTGTCTTGTAAAGATCCAATCTCGGCTTGCTGAGTTGAACCGGCAGAGCCTGATTTTGACTCCGCGAGGCCGGTTCGCGATCTCCGAGATCCTCCAACGCGGATTCATCCGCTTCCCAACCCCTGCACTCCTCTCCGTGTGTCCGAGTCGTCCCCACTGCAGCTTTATCGGTGATGCTGGGTATTTATGGGCACTGGAAACATACGACACCTGCGATTCTAGGAAAATGAATCGATGACACGCAAGGCGGAGCGGCTGTGACGTCCGCAGGTGCGTCGTAGCCTCAGTCGTCTGCCAATGCCTGCCGGGGTCACAGGTCACGACTCGCCGACGTGTTGTGAGGGCGTCCGAGTCGTCGGGACGGCGAATCTGTGGCTCAAGATATGTCACGAAGGCGAGCGAGTCCTCTCGGGTGCCAATCTCCGCGGAGGATGCCCGGGGATGACAGGCTGTCGTTGCGTCGCCGCAGACGGCTGTTCCGGGAAGCGTCGACGTCGATTATGGTATGTACTGTATAGCTCCACCAAGCCGTTCAGAGCATCTGGACCCGTCAATTCAGAGCACTTCCTCCGTCTTCTCGATGCCACTGGCAGAAATGGTGCTCCACCTGTACCTACGAGTCGGCCGCGTCCCGTTGGGATCCCCTCATCGTTCGACTTTCAATGCTCGAGCGGCATCCCTTCGACGCCGAGATACTCGTGGTGCGTGTTCTGTTGACGTACGCTGCGTAGCGTAGCGGTTAGCGATGGGCGGCTCCTGGGCACCGAGTGAGGCCTGGAGAGTTGCCTCCTGAAGTGCGCCAGGGGATCGATTCTCCGCTGCCCATGACCAGACCTCACTTTTTTTCCTGCCTGCGTCTCCCCTCAGGACGGCGATTCGCATCGCAGCTCCACGGCTTGCCGCGCTTCCCCGCACGCTGACACGGTCACTTTTAATTGACCTAGTCCGGGCGCGGGCACATTGTTGGCTCCGTTACAGGCCGTGTCCGGAGTTGAAGTGGTGCCACACTCGATTTGGTCCATGGTCGACTTCTGATCACGATGCATGTGATGGTGCATGGGCTGGATTTACGGGCTGGCCTTCTGTCTTGACAGCTCGACGGCTTGGAGAGGGGAGTCCATAACCACTCGTCACATGTTAGGTTCGACTCGGGCGCGCTGCAGTCAACCTCCCGCATGTGCAGCTCTCAGCCTGTCACACCAGATGTCTTCCGCGGGCCCCTTTTCCTGACAGCGCGTGGCGATGACGGCAACCAAATTCGAGTCTCGACAGGCGTCAGCCTTTCGTCGCCTCGCGCGACGCCTGCCAGCTGCAGTGTCCTGTGTCTGTCAGTGACGGCGCCCTCGTCGAGGTTTGTCTTGTGGTACCCTGGCATCGTATCTCGCTGCTACGCGTGACCGCGGCGGTCTAAATGTCAGTCTTACTGGTCAATATCGCCCTCGAAAGTGCGAACACATTCGTGGTGCGTGGACTCCGC